GGGGGGTTGCTTAATGAACGGGACGCATATGATATTATTCAACGTCCTGATTTATTTATTTTCAGCTATCGCACTTCAGCTAAAATAAAATAGATACTTGTCAGACTTAGTAAGAGAATAATTAAAGTGATTAAAGAAAGAACATATAAGTGTTCTTTTATTAACCTTCCTCGGTTCTTTAAATACTATTTACACGTGAGGCCTTCGGGTCATGTTGACCCGATTTCAAAAATATGAAGCAATTGTTTTAAATTAAATACAAAATCTAATTATTTCTAAAACAAATTTACTTAATAAAAATAAGGATACAATAAACGACTAAATTTGTATATTACTCATTTTCTTAGCAACACAAAAGGCATAAAATTTCAGAATGTTTCACACATATATCTTTCTTACATTTTTTACAGATTTTTGAAGTTTTTACATCTTTTGAAGATGGACATACACTACACCTTTTTCTTCTTTTAGAGCTCTGAGTAGTGGAAGTATTCGTTGTCTCAGTAACACCTGACTCCACTCGTAGTACTAATTCCAGTGAAGTATTTGTCCGAGGAAGAGTTTTCCTACGCTCGATGTGATCATTTACCGATTCCATGGCTAATTTCTCTAGAAACAACCGTCTTTGTACTGTTTTCTTCTGTTTCCAGTCTGGGTGGTGTTACAGTATAATACATAAGCATTGAAAAATGAAATATCAATAATATTATGAAATATAGCTATTGGCCACCTTCTATTCATTTGTTTACAACTATAGGCCAAAACCATTGTGTCTAGAAAATCAACAGCACCCTTTGTTGCATTATAGTCCATGATCATTTTTGGTTTCTTCTGCTCTGATTCATGTATTTCTATTTTGTTGTGATTTGTGCTCAACAAAATTACATTTTTTTATCGGAATGTATAAGACAAGAACCATTTTTGAATTGAATGTCTTCGTATCTAAAATATCTACGAGTATCTATCGCTTATTTTTCCGTAAGGTTCCAAGAATGGTAAGTTTACGATCTAAAAGTTTTTCAGCTAATTCATAAGATGTAAAAAAATTATCACATGTAAGGTTGTAGCTCTGTAAACCTGTCAGATCCAAAACTACAAAAGTTCCTTGATTTTTTTCCAGAGCACTTCCTTGGAGTTTTCCAGTATAACACTGAATTGAACGAACGTATCCTGTTTCACTGTCACACAATATCCAAAATTTTATGCCACTTTTACTTGGTTTGCTTGGCATATATTGTCGGAAAGGACATCGACCTCTAAATGAAAGTAACTGTTCGCCAATTGTGATATTTATATTTGGATTATAAAACATAGGCAATAGCTTCACCAATTCAGAACGTTTATCAAAACTCAAAATCGCAGAAATTTGTTTGAAACGTTTCAGGGACATTGTTGCCCAAAATGTAGGTCTTCCATAAGCTTCGGACCATAAGCTTTCTAAACTTTCATCGTTAGACTTGAAAACTTCAGCAAAAAATAAAAATACCTAGATATGTATCTAACTCTGTTTCATCTAACGCTTCCCATCCATTTACGAAACGTGAAGAACCTTCTATATTTGTTTGTTTCAAAATTATAGATTTTATACGCTTATTTAGAAATAAATCAAAAGAACTTCTAAATGTATTTATGCAATTAGAAGCATACCTGGTAATGCCTGGTGTAAGTTTTATTAGGTTTGCACTACTCAAACGACCTCTGACTTCTAATGGGGTTCTTGACCATACAAATTCACCATTTTTGATAGCATTTGGTTTTCATTAGCACTGGTATTGGCAACGTATCTTGAAAGAGGCTCCTCATCGCTATTTGTTTCGTCACTACTGCTTTCACTGTATATACTGGGTTGAATATTGTCGGTAGGATTTTCATTCAAACTATTCTCCGTTTCACTAATTATATCATCTTCGGAATTTATACCGTAGTTTACTATTTGCGAAATCGCAGAATCAGTCAGATTGTGAGCCATTTCAAACACCAATGAAACACATCAAGTCCAAACAACGTAAATAATGTAATCTACCGGCATAGTAATGTAAATAAATAATTATTCTCAAAGTACCTTCAACAATAACGCGTTAAGTAATTAAGATATTACTAACATTTATAAATTGTAAGTGTACTCTTAGAATGCAACAAAGCATTATTGTTTGCAAAGCACGGGCTTTTCTGACCCGAGGACCTGTTTCATACTCGGGTATTATTGACCCGAGGAACCTAAGACGGAAAAAACTTAATTTTATTAAGATAAGAGATTTCACCATAATTTTACAATAATAATATATAGTGAATGCATAATTAATAATTGTCAAAGTCTTTTAAATTATATTAATAATTACGACTTTTATTGACAGTTAAATTTCAGTTTCGGGTCAACATGACCTGAAGAACCGAGGAAGGTTAATCACTATAAAGCTTTTAAGTTTTTTTTTTATAATTAGTATTTTACAATAATAATACAATTCATAGAGGCAACAGAGTATTAGGTATATGTAGCACAAGAATAGCTTTTATCACGTAGGAACACCCATATTACGTCGATCATTTTAGTCACACGTATTAAGAGCGAGCCTATTACCACTAGAACAAAGATAAACTATATGAAATTATTCCGTCTCAATATCACTTGATTCTGGACTTTCTGTATCTGAGTCTGTATCTTCTTATAATTTTATGACATTCCAGTATTCTTGTTCAATTTTTCGGTTATAGTCATCACAATTCTGCCATTTTGCAGCAAAAAATTCAGAAAATAACCTTGTGAGTATTTAAATTTCATCGTCCAATGGTGCATTAATGGGATTTCTGGCCGTTATTTTTAATATCTGCCCACACGAATTCAATCGGGTTTAGATCTGGATAGTATGCAGGTAGCCTTAGACCAGTATGTATATAACAGTTTTGGATATGGAATTTCAAACTCGATGTAGTTGCTTTCTTTTCTACTTGCACACCATGATAGGCTGCATTATCCATGACGACAACTGAGTTTAGTGTGAATTTGGGAATCAATTTTGGATCTAACTTGTTATAAAAACTTGTAGAGTTCATATCTTCGTGATAATTCCCTGTTTTTGAATCCGATTTTAAATCAACAACGCGTCGTCGACTAATTCATTTCGACTACCAGCGTGGACTAATATTAAGCGCCTTCCTTTGCCTGTGTCAGTATGAATGCCAAGCTCCGATTCAGATTGCCAACATTTTCCAATATTGTGACATTGGTTTACAAAAATAAAGATTTCGATTGTCTAATCTGTACATTCTTATGGCCCTCAAGTATTTCATTTTAATCGCCATACAACAATATTTGCTCTGTCTATTAAATTTGATCCCTTAGATTTACATTTTTTGAATGAATACCCCATTTAGTGCAAAACTGCTATCAAATATGTTAAACTCGCAATGTAAAGTGTTATTTCTCTTTTAGATCAGCATTTAGTTTTCGAATACTTGGAATTTACTTGTCAATCGTATAAAACTGGTTTTGTTTTCGCCTCATCAGTCCTAAGTCAAAATCATCAACCTGTATTTTCTTTTTTATTTCTTTTGGTCTGCGCGGAGATGTAATTTGACAACTGCCGTATTTTGAAATGAATTTTTACTTTCAGATGACTCCTCACACTACGTTTCGATATCACTATAGCTTCGGCTACTAATTTATTTATATTTCATCAATTTTATATTCATAACTGTCAGTATCATCTGCCTTACGTTTTCGTAAAATAAATCCACTTTAAAAATCACTGCTTTAACTTGGCGATTCATCGGCGGACTCATCTTGCTGTTTCATCTCAGTTCACACGCAACTAAAACTTATATTTTAAGCGTAATTAAAGCGCGTCGTGGTATTTCTCTATTTTAGATAAGGAACGTGCTTCACATATTATATTACCGCTCTAATATTCTCGTTGCTTGTAGTATAACATTACTACGCTTTTTTCTCTTTATATAAATTATTTCATGAGAAAATTTAGGTATTATCAGTGAAAAATTAGGCGACTTTATTATTAAGTATAATAATCTAGCTAAGTGAAGTATAAAACGAGAAAATTGAGCCTGACTTTGAAGACATATTTTATTTACATAATGAAACATCTTTCAAAATAACAAAGAAGCCTAGAGAGATGTCGAACCTCCTTAGAAAGTAATTTCAGTTTAAATCTTTACGAAGCGAAGAATCGATTTGTATTTATTATTAGTGTGTTTTACTATACAGGCAGGTTGAAAATAAAAAATGTTACCACATTTTTATTAAATCACTCTCTTGTCATTAAGACATTAAGTCCATCTGTTGTTCCAGATTAAATTATTCAACTCAAATTTCAAGCACTTGCAGATGAGATAGAGAATTGAAATTTTGAACATAGCTCAGAATTCGATAACAATGTCGGAATATGAAACAAAAAACGTGGCGTATTAATTTTTTTAAGTACATATTTAATAAAAAATCACTTGTTTTACCAATAAAAGCAGTAGAACAAGAAGTGACATACCCTCGTTATCCGTAGTATTACGTATAGGACAAAAAGTAGATACGTAAGAAATACCTATTCCTAGATATTATAATATGATCTAAGAAAACAATATGCAATTAATGATTCAGTTTCAATTAATTATAATATTTACAGTTTACAAAAATATGCTTAGTCATAATCTTAGAGTAATTAACAGACATAATATGTAGTCACAATATTTAATTGGGTACTTCACACTCTAGTCAAAATGTTGTTAAGATTTTTCATAATAATTTCTTCAGTATGGGAATACAGTGCAACGATTTTCAGTGCAATGGTTCGTATTAAATTACCTTATAAAATTTATATGACGTAGATAGACATAGACGAGATCTATCTATGGTTATATAAACTACCCACTTATAAAATTATTTTTACAAAATATTCTAACTAAATTCTTACATTAATGAAATGTTTGTTTTGTTTTTAGTTGCAAAGATTCTACTTAATATTTTAAATAACATGGTCCTTTTCATTTTACTCTTAAGCTTTTCGACCGTGAATGTAAGCTGAAACAAAAAAAGTTAGTAAGTTAAATTACTTATTATTATTAACCTAAAGCAAAGACCGCTGTTTTAAAAAATACAGAATTAGACATTTAAAACTTTGAATCTAGAATTTAATTTCGTTTAAAACATCACAAGGAAATTTCTTGTAACTGAAAGCGCCTCAGATCATATAAACAACAGGAGATATGGCAAGGAGGCGTGGCACTTGCGAACGCATCTGGCCGCAAAGCGGCCTGATGCCAGTTTCGGTAATTAGTCGAATGTCAACTTGTGACGTCTTCACTGCTCGTGGCTTTTGACAAAATGCCGCGTTGTTCAGTGATTTTGCAAAAATAACAGCTGTATTGTGAATTACATGAAAGATGGAATCTCATTTCACACGTAAGTACTAAAATATTAATGTTTTTCTTATTCAATTTATTAAAACATTACTTCGTGGTACTAGAAACACGATGAAAAACCAAATCAAATGTTTTCATTAGGAACAAAAACTATTGCTTGCTTAGTACAAATCGACCTGTGAATCAGCTGGTCTAATAGCGCAATGGATAAGTGTTTTACTGATACTCTCACTCACACGATAGTTTCGTGAAGCAGCCGCTGCCGGCTTTTGTGAGTGAATGATAGCGACAGATGTTTTTGTGTGAATAAGTTTTGTACGGTGCATGGTAAATGCACGCTGCGTATGATGAGATAAGGTTTATAATTGGTTGTGTAGTATGTTCTGATTTATAAAATGCGAGTGTGTGCGCGATTGTGTATCTATTGCTTTTACTGATGTGCATATGTAGTAGTTGGCGCGTGGTAGGGGCCAACTGGAGACACCGGGTTCCGATACATTTTCAACTACTGAGCATATCTCCTTATTTCTTATATCTATGGAAAGCGCCCTTGAGCTACAAGAACTTCTATTTTTTAATAAAAAAAAAAACATAATTTTATGTATCCTAATTAGGTATAATGCCCCCAAATAGCTTATTCGTATACAAAGCTCTTATATCGGAAACTATAAATATTCTAAAAATCTTCTTGCCGTTATTTACGTACCTAGTACGTAAAGGGTTATTTTACGCCGCCACTGCATGGGGAGTATATTTAAATGAAAATAAATATAAATCAACTACGAATTCACACAGAATGATAAATAATACATAATGATAATTTTAGTTATTACTTCTAGTTTTTTTATTATGGTTATTCACATTATATAATTTAAAATATATGTACTAATATAATATTAGTTTAATAGTATGAATTAATGTATACATGTAACAGCCTTAATAACCTTATGTGCTATTAATAATTACAGCTTTTTTGTTTTTGAAGACAGTTTTTTTTTGCCTTACCGTCATAATGGGTGCGATGAGGACATCGAGGGCAGCTAGCAAGCAAATTCTGCCTCTGCAATCGCGGGGCAGGGGGTTCTCGGCACAACAACCGCGGCCATTCGCCCGCTGCATTTCCTCTTAATTCTTTGCGTTCCTCTATGCCTGTAGAAACTCACAGTTTAAGGGAATTATTTGAATACTGTCGCTAGCAAAATAACCAAAGTGCACATTATTATTTGCTATCAAAATATATTAATTTTGTCTTAATAAAAGTAGAATAATTTAGCTGACTGTGCTAGGGTCGGTATTAAAAAAAAATTAGGCATAGTAATGTAGTGATTTTGTTTGTGTCGTTATTACTAATGCACAGGAAGAGTTGTTTGAGCGCGGGTGCGCTGGAGTAGACTTGGAATAGACTACCTGGAGTAGACTATTAATATCGCTACTATGTCATGGAGGGTGGAGGCGTTGAGCGTTGCTAGTGCATTGATCTACCAAGTAAAATTGTGATATGACATATTATACTTATGATCTCTAGGTTATGACGTTATATTTAATTTCTTCCAATATTTTTTATTTTTATTAATTAATATTCTATTTCTTCTACTCGTATTTCTCGCAAATAAGGCAAACCATAACTACGGCTACTTGATTCGGCGTAGGTATTACAAAAAATTTGTCTATCAGTTTCTTCTAGAGGTAAAGGTGAGACATATGCTTTCGCCCTTCCGCATATAAAAAATAATATATCATGTTATTTACAAATGACTTTCGGTTTTGTGATACCGGAAAATAGTGTTTACGAGATTCTGTAGTTTCCTTATAATAATAGATATGTAAAGCAAACATAATATCAGATTCAATTTACTTCGTATTATATTTTGTATCAATGAATAAAAGAATGATTCAATTATGAGGAAATAAATTCATATTTTTCGACGTGGGAAAGCCATATTACTGTAAGTACATTTATAGACTAGCGATTCGCCTCAGACCAGTACAGATCCGACAACAATTTCAAAATGGTTATTTATGTCTTGATGCAAATGACCTCCAGAGATATTACGGACTGTCACTTCTATTTTATTTGTATGTATTATAAAAAAGTATACACGTGAAACATTATAAGAAAGTATACAAATGCTTATGTCAATAATTATAAAGAAAAATAAAGTGGCGATAGCCTCCATTAAAATATTAAAACCAAAACTTCCTTTGCATTAAATTTAGAGACGACAAAAACGATATTAGTATTATAATAAACTATCATCAAAGCATAAAGAAAAGCTCTTTAAAATGTATAAAGTCGTGCGAGTTTTTAAAGTAACGTTTAATGAAACCAAAAAATACACGACCCGAAAAATAGCTGTTAGTAAATTAGTCTCGAAAATCACAAACCCTAGAAATGCTGTATATAGCCTTGAATTTCAAGTGTATTAGTGTATAATTTGCATAAAGTGAAATCCTTCTTTTGCTGTGATTAAAAACAATGTACAATTATGACCTAATTCTGACCCATATACAACAATTAATCTCACGGATTTTATGTACTTATTAAAATTTATTAATTTTATTTCGCATACTTTTACTCACAACAAAATTGTTTTCCCACGTCGATATAATTTATGTAAATTATTTAGGTGTTTAGTTAATATCTATTTGAGTTATCAATTTAAATAACATTTATTTAATTACACTTATAGCAGTAACATGAAACAGTTGATAGTGCTTCATTTGATTTAAATTTTAAAAGTTCGTTATCTCATTAAATGATAATGACATCTGATATTACTTCAAATAATAATTACGTTAACGAGTAAAAACCTGATCTGGATCGACTACCAGACTGCGATATACAGTCCGGCGGGGATTCGGGAGGCCGACGTTGGCGGCGGCAGCACGAGTCTCGCCACCGGCACAAAATTGCCGTGCGGAAGTATGTTCTGAATCTATAAAATAAAACTCATAATTATGACGCTGAAAACAGCTCAGTTCGATTTTTTTCACCACGACCATTTTTCCGATTTTTATCAAACTTATGAGCTTACGACTATTTTATACGACTTATGTCATACGCCAGGTTTTCTGTACATGACTATATTTTTACAATTTGTTGTAATTTATAGGAACAAACTAAATATTACACGTACATACATAAACATTACCATTTCAGTTTATAAAATTTCTCTGCTAAACATAGACCTCTGAATTGGCTCATTGGGGGATTTTGCCATAGTTGCCATAGTTGCTACAACTATGTATAAGTCATAATACCTTTTTCATTCTCAATCATTCTGTTCTCAGACTTCACTTGATAAGCACTGTGAATTGTTTTATTCAATAAAAATAATATTTTTATTGAATCGTGAATAAATACCTTGACTAGGGCGTACTAAATGATTACGCACTACACTGACTATTAACCTATAAACGTTTCTAACAACGTTGAGAAACGTTTATTAATACGGTCATAAATCACCAAAACCGATTTCTAAAATAAAAAATGTCGTAATGTCCGCTTGTCAGGCGGGTTGGTAACCACAGGTTTTTTTTTATTGTATTGCGTTGCTATCAGAAAGATGCTGCTGCCCATCTCCCGATTCATTTCCCCACTGTCGTCTTTACGATATCCACGAGAATATCCACTACCCTTTATCGTCCACGGCCACGGGACGATATGTGGGTAGTAGGTAGGTAGGGTGGTGGATATTCTTAAAACACCACGTCACTATACAGTAGGTACAAACAAAAACAAAATATATACACAACTTTAAATAAAAAAAAAAACGATGAGCGAATAGCGGCGCAAAGCGACATACGTCTGTCTCTATGTATTTATTAGTATAATAATATATGAGTCCGTTACATTTCAAAATCAGTTAAGTCTACTATTTTAATGTATCTAAAATACGATTCTACTTTAAAACAAGTCAAGTCCTCGTGAAACAATGTGTGCTTGCGTTAGTAACAAGATAGCTTCTTGATATTTGTTCTTGCTTGTTGCGGTGTATAGTGACTGTGTTGGGAATTTTATCAAATTTGTTTAGATAATCGAAGATAAATGATGAATAAAATACCGTTTATGCCTCTAGATGAAGCAAAGAAACGAGTGATACCAAAATGTTCAACAAAATAAGAGAAATTAAGGGAAAAATAGTAAGTTTCCATATCCCGCTATAACCTGATTGAACCCGGAGCCGAATTAGTGCAGTGCAGTAGAGTACAGATACTACTGTTTCCACTTGTGTATATTCGGATACTTTTTGTCTTTCGAATTTAATTATACTTATGTGATTTGAATCTTAAAGTATATAGATATATCTTAAAGTATATAGATATGATTCGTCGTCGTTCGTTTGATCTAAAAGCAGGTTAAGTTAGTTCCGTAAGCTAAGTATTAATCTACCTTCAACATGACAAAATGTGATAAATGTGGAAAAAATATAACCAAAAGTAATCCTGGAATAGAGTGTAACCAATGCGAGAAAATAGTGCACTTAAATGGGAACTGCTCTGGTCTACTAACAAGCAAAAGAATGCATTAAAGGCCGCTGAGAATCTAGGATGGATATGCTAAGATTGTCTTGAACATTCCCCCGAGACGTAGCTCTACAAACGTTCCCGGTGATGAAGAGGAAGAGGAAGAGGACGATAATGCTCAAGAAACAGGAACCTATTCCAAAAACGTACAAATTGATATCAAGCGGTTATTGAAAGATATATCAAAAGAGATGGAAAAAGATCTTCAAAGAGAACTGCGAGATATAGTCAAATCTCTACAACATCAAAGCGATAAAATGGAACAAAAAAATAGAACATTAACGAGGACAGAAAATAAATGGGTTAATTAAAGGACTAAAAGGGTATGTGAGAATAGGGACTATTGGTATTTTTTGTGGTTAAAAATACAGACGATATGATTACTAAACAAATACATAATAAAATACGAAATGCGAATAACAAGCTGATACAAAAAACAAAAAATTGGTACATCAAAACGGATATACATAATAATAAAAATAACCAGATAAGACTTTGGCAAATACTAAATAACATCACGGGACGGACAAGTCCCTCCATCGATAATATAATTTTAAATTCATTTCAAAATGAAAAAGTGACGCCACTTGATATCGCTAATAATTTCGCTCAGGCCTTCAGAAAAATGTTTCAAGCACCGTACCTTCCTGCAATCAACCCTTTTTACCGATGAACTTGTACAGATTGCCTGTAAACGTAACATTTCGATATCAAAAGGCTACTCCAAGCTCAGTAGCTGAAATAATAAAAAACATTCAAACGAACAAAGCACCAGGTATAGACAACATACGAGCAATAGACTTAATATCCATTGCGGACAAAATATCGGTAACTAAATAGCCGACTTAATAAATGCGTGTATAGAAAAAGGCAAGTACCCTACTAGATTAAGAACTAGAATTGTAAGACCCGTACATAAAAAAGGTATGAAAACGGATTACGACAATTATCGCCCAATAACATTACCTACACTAGACAAAATAATTGAAAAATATATAAGTAAACAAATAAATAATTTCTATAGTCAACACTCAATTTTAAATAAAAGTCAGTATGGTTTTCAGCAGCATAAAAGTACCACTCAACTTTTATCTTCTTTTACTGACGACGTAAACCATTATCTTGATAATAAAAAACATGTTCTAGTTGTTTTCATTGACTATAGTAAAGCGTTCGGTACCCTTAGTCATGACTTACTGATTGAAAGGCGTGATGAATGTGGACTGCGAGGGCCCCTTTTAAATTGGTGCAAAGACTATGTTAAAGAGAGAGCATATAGAGTTAAAGTAGGAAATGCTACAAGTACAAAGAAAACAGTCACTCATGGTACTGCACAGGGATCTGTACTTGGGCCTTTGCATTACTTGACCTATGTTAATAATGTTGCCTATGTAATTAAAAACTGCAAGATATATCAGTTTGCAGACGATACCTGCATACTAGCGGCGGAAAACGACCTATATGTGGCATTACAGAAATTGCAAGAAGATTTCACTAACCTTATGAAATGGTCTCACGATGCGGGGCTTGTTCTGAATGCCACAAAAACAAAAATGATGTACATTTCATCCAGTCATAATAGAGTATCTGTTCCTTTAAAACTCGTTGCCCACAGCCACCAATGTCTCCATAATAACATGTCTAACCAGACTTGTAATTGTACTCGTATTGAATTAGTAGAACAACAACCTTACCTTGGACTCATAATAGACAGTCGATTTAAATGGACGCACCATATTAATAAAGTGTGTGATAAGTTAAGGGCCATACTTGCCAAATTTTCTATCGTTAGGTATAAAGTTCCCTTTCCTACACTATTGTCCCTTTATAAGGCTCTGGCCGAATCAATAATACACTACGGATTAAGTAGCTATGGTAGAACCTGGAAATCGCATCTTTGTAGAATCAATGAATTACAACTTAGAATCATCAAACAATTGTCCCCCCTAAAATCAAACAACAATATAAGGACAATTACAACAAATTATTTAAATACTGTGGTATCTTGCCAATAGAAAAAAAATTAAAACTTACTTTACTTGTGAACAGTTCTTTAATACAAAATTACAAGTCATACCTACGTACAAACACCAGCTTAGAAGTATATATAACCCTAAATTAATTATAGCTAAAACTCATAACATGTATGGCGATCATCAAAATAAGATTATTATTCCTAAATTAATTAATAAACTACCTAAAACCTTGAAGGAAAATATCAATCCCAAAAATATTAAATACAAATTAAAAACATACTTTTTGAATCAACTAACATGATATAACTAAAAACTAACATACTTTTTCATTACTATATGTAATATAATTACCATATGTATATTCCAAAAATATAAAATAATATTTTCTCCAAACTCCCTGTATACTACTCTAACTAAATAGCCACTACAACTCATCCTCATGTTATTTGTATAGAAATGAGCGAACTACCTTCTTACTCTAAATAATATTAAAATGTTTACGCTCGAAAGACGCCGAACTGCAGAGTGCAGAAAAATCTTATATATATTATGTTGTTATAGGTTTATGTTGCACTGTATTTATGAACTTTGTTTAGTATGTATTTTAGTTGTTGTAAAATAAAAAAAATTATTTATTCAAATTATTTTATTATTAATTGTTCTTCTTATTGTTATGCTAGCTAGTCCTATTTGCTTTCAGATACTCAGTTACTGGTCTGCCAGTAAAGCCTAGATGTAATCATAACAAAAACAGGTTTATCAGTGCAGCGACCTAACATCGAATGACACGTTTTACTTTCATTCTAATTTTAACCGCACTAAAAATAACATTGATCAGGACAACTACATATTATATTATTGTTGAATGTCAAGCACAAAAAGAAAGCGTCCTAAAGAAGTTCGTTCGCATTCCAAAGCAAAATATTTGGTACGAAAGCATAAGTCCACGGAAAACGTGTAAGTATGCCAAGCCATTCGTGATATTCTTCGAATAAAATCAAGTCGTCTTAAAGAGCATTGACAAGACGCTGGAATCTGTCGGCTGTGTAGCCGAAGAAGAATAAGGTGAAAATCGCAAAGAATTTCAATTCAGATGAAGCAAAACCTGTCATAAAATTCATTCAAACGTTTAAGCCCCTTAACTAACATTACAGTCGTAAAATTAGACAGCAAATTTATCTAGATTCAACTCTCAACATCACTAAGATGTTCAAGATGTACAATGACCAACCTGCGCCGATAATGTTAGCAACACATTCGTTTTTCAGAAAAGTTTTTAATCGTAACTTCAACATTGGATTCGATACACTCCGCAAAGATGTTTGTTGAATCTGCTTACAACTGCAGTATCAAATAAAGCTTGAAAAATATAAACTTAAAAAAAAACTATGTTCCAGCTACAAATCCCTAAACTAAGAGCCAAGGCCTTTTTTGATAAAATTAGACAGAAGAATTTACCACTGCCAAAATGGCCGGATCAATCTGTTTATTACTCCAGACAACTTTATTTATACAGTTTTACTACAGTAACAGGTTCTTCACACTCAAAACTTAAAATGGAAAATGTCCTGGCATACATGGACTGAATATGTCACTTCTAAATATTCGAATAAAATTTGCAGGGTAATACACCACTGTCTGGATTCAATAGATACTGAAATTAAAAATAACATTCAATTAATGGCGGATGAATGTGGAGGCCAAAATAAAAATTAATTTCTCATCAGCATGGCAAGTAAATGGCTCGGAGAGGCTCCAATGACATTCAAAATTATCGAAATTGTATTTCCAGTTACTGGACATTAATTTCTGCCGGCTGACCGTATTGCACTGCAGAAGCTCAAATACGTAAACTGGAAACAATAGTACAACCAAAAGAATATAAAGTTATAATAGCGGCACACACAACTCTTCGTAAATTAGGTACAGAATTACCACTTTATGTTTATAAACTGCTAGTTTACGATTATCTTTCTGCCGTGGAAGAATCGGTCAAGTCCGCCAGTAAGTGGCACTTTCAAGTAAGTAAAATGAAAATGGTAATTTTGAGAAGAGGGAAAAGAACACGTAAAATTTTGGAAAAAGGCAAGATTTCGTAGCAAAGCGACACGGAGGTACCCAAAAGCACACTCGCCCCACCAAAAGTTTTACGCAAATGATTCCAGAATAAGTTCAGTTGGGAATTGCAGTCAACGAGTTGAAGCTAAAAGATGTGAAAATTTTACTCACAAAACATTATGGCTCCAACAGAGCTAACATAAAAGAGTTGATATTTTACATAAACACCCTTGACATCATAGGTAGCTCGAAATCGAAAGACAGTGTGTGCTTTTGGCAACAGAAAAAAAGCGCTTGCAAGCGCTTGTAAGCAAAATGGCGATCGTAAGCGGTAAGCGCTGTCAAATCGTAAGTAGCTATTTTCCTCCAGGACACGATGTTAGTTTTAACCGGGGAATCTAACCTAATTTAAATATATGTTTGTAAAGTATTCATATTAAAAACTTACCAATCATGAGTTTTTAATAGCATGTATATGTTTATTCATGTCATTATATTACTTAAAACTAATATTGCACAAAACAACTTATAAAGTCTACTTCAAAACAAACAAATTAAATAAGCAAAATGGCGGATTGTGTCAGCGCTACTGAAGTAGCAATCGTGTCCTGGCCGAAAACTATTTTAGCGCCTATAAGCGCTTGCTAGCGCTTTTTTCTGCCAAACGCACCCAATGTTGATTGTTGTCAACATGAAATTAAAGAAACCTTCGATTTTTTTTGATAATTTAATTTTATTTTAATGGTTTCAACGTAGTAATTATCAAAACTCAAACTTTAAATATCTAAATAAGGAACAAAATTATTGTTGACAGAAACTGTTATTTTTAATAATTACTATTTAAGTTTTATGATTAATCTGATAAAACTGTTTTTTTTACAGTTTCCTGTAGAATCCGGTATATCTAACAATTCTTCTTTGAGTACTTAGGCCTTGGTCCGGCTCCTGTAAGTTATTAAATCAAAATAAACCAAGTCCAGTACTTCTGTTTTTTCTGAATAACCAACTATCATGGATTTGACTGGTTTTATTATAAGCAGATTATATCCATTCAAAAATTATTTTTATGTGCTAGCTGATTTATTCACACAGTTAAAATGTTAGATAGGTATAGATGGAGTATATATAGTAAGGGATAGTCAAAGCGGTACGTAATACCGCTAGTATAAAAAAAACGATTTACAGTTAAACGACCTTTTCGAACTTGGCTAATTATAAAATTTTGTGACTCATATGCGTCAGTCTAGCAAAGTGTCATAAGATTGCTGAAGTACAAAAATATATATATATATATATATATATAAAGGAACCAACTTTTGTAATTAAACATGATATGTAATTGTTATTAATTTTAACAAGTACCTTGATATAGTATAGATATATATGGTACAGATATTTTTGTAAATAAATTATTTTAAGAGAATAGGTTTTTAGAGATTTAAAATTTCTTTGTACAAGAAAACCAATTAAATTCGAACCGTTTCTCTCATTGCGTTATTTTGTGTTTCTTTTATTATATAATTGATTTTTTATTATAAAGTTTTTAAATCTATAATAAAAAAATCACAATCTAGTATTCCCACATGTGTGTTTGCTTTTTGTCTTATTCTAAAAGTATGCTTAACTTTATCTGAGATGGAGTCGTGCGGTATTTCACAGGGTTCGGGGCCTTAGGACCGCTTTTGTAGAATATTGTTTACGACTGGCTGTTGCGGGGAGATCTTCTGCCGGGTGCTGGTATAGTCTGCTATGCAGACGATACGCTAGTCAAGTCGCAAACGAGCATGCGGCTCACCTTATGGTGAGCGACTACCGCCGCCCACGAATAACCGCAACACCAGGGGATTTTCAGGTGCGTTGTCGGTTTTTTAGAAAGGTGTAAGTGCTTTTCTTGAAGGTTCTTAAGTCATATCGGTCCGGAAAAATCGCCGGCGGAAAGCAATTCCACAGAGAAGTTGTACGAGGAAGAAAACTCCTAGTAAAACGCACAGAGGTGGACCGCCAAGCATCCAGATGATGAGGATCGTATCGTGAATTTTGACGCGATGTGCGTTCATGAAATTTGGCGGCTGGAACTAATCCTAACAATTCCTCAGAACACTCTCCGTGGTAGATACGATAAAAAAGGCAAAGGGATGCAACATACCTTACGGCAGTGAATCGAGCCCATCAGAAAGAACTCTTTCGTCAACGATTCCAATTGTTCTGCGCTGGATGCGGTCAAGAATAGTGTGCTACGAGTTTCGTATAATGGATAATGAAGATTAATAAATCTTAAATTTTTAACGACGACAAATTCAAAGAATTTTTAGTGGTTTACAAGTTTCATTATTTTTATAGGCCCTACCTATTTACTTTGTTTTGATTTGCTTCGTTCGACAAATATGCGAAGGTAATTAGAAGATATTTAAGTGTTTAGATTTCTTAATCTTATTAATTAAAAATCTTAATAATAAGTCCAATTTCATGTTAAAATATTTGTTTATAATTTATATTTTATTTTTATTTTTATAGAAACTACTTTGTTTTGCTTAGATTTAGTTAGATAAATACGCAATGACAATTAGAAGACGTTTAAGAGTTCAGTTTAATAAACACGTTTATGAACATAACTAATAAACTTTTGTTTGTGTAACTCCGTATTTGTGCAACCTATTTAGTATCAAACAACGTATGAAATATCAAGATATTCTAACACAACATTGCCAAGCTTTATCTCCATTGTTTCACATAAACAAAAAGTGGCTATGTTATTAATTGTTAACTCTTAAATCTTGAATAAATTATATATAAAAAAAAAAATAAATTAAACCTAAAATAGTTATTTATATTTAAGTATTGAAAAATTTAAGTATTGAAGTCATACTTGCCATTGAAAATAAGGCAGTTAATGTTTCAGTTTAGTGGCTCAACTTTGCCAGCAGAAAACTTTTACATTTTTCAAAATAAACAAATTTAAACAAGTTCTAAGTACACTGTTGTCGTGTATAAGTCTAAGCACAATACAGATTCAAATAATGTTGAAATTGAGTTGTAATCTTACGAGAGCACGTTAATATAAAACTTAGGCAAAGTTGCAGCATTTTACGGTATTCAGTTTGGGGAGAAAACTAGCACAACTTACCATAATTTTACGATTTCTGCACTAAAGAACATAAAAGTAATGATTTATATATGTAGTATATAAGACATTTACATCACAGCCGTTACAGTCTATTTCTATTATACAAGTTTACTGCCGAACCTAAACCTCTCTCATACATTGCTACAGATCACGGACCTAGGCCATCTGCCTCTATCGAATCCCTGCACGTTTTATCAGACAGCTACACAATTATACCACGTTGCAGTTTGGGGTCATACGTAATACAACACAGTAAAGAAGCGGCTTCCATGATTTCGTGCACGTTTAAGAATGACCGCACTGAGACTTATTCGGCCTTATTGTAAAGAGTATTTGTTATAATTATTGGTCCCAGGTTTATGTTTAGGTATATTTCACGAAAAAAGTTCCGCGAAAATATGCAAACTAAGATATGGAATTTGACAGCAAACTTCAAAATTCGCGAAGACTTCGGCGCCACTTTAGGAACTCCTGTTAGGACTCTTTTATAACCATTGTTTAAACCTGAGACTATTAATAGTTAAAAGATTAGAATTTACGTTATAATTTGCATAGGCTTTGTTAAGCTAAGACAGTGCTCTTTATCGTCCTCGACTGAATCACCATTTACCATCAGGTGAGATGGTAATCATTCATTGGTATAATTAAAATTTGTAAATAGAAATAATAAAAATAAACTTATTTAGATACTTACTTAGCATTCATCCAGTAATAGATTATAGGGTTAACCATAGCATTCGCCATCGCTAACCAGTAAAAGCCGAGATACACATGCTGAACGTACTTCATGTACAATATGGAAGGGTTGAAGTGAGTGTAGATGAAGTAGGAATGATACGGCAACCAACAGATACCGAATATAACTATCACCAAAATAAACATTTTCACAACCTGAAAAACAATTAATATTGATAAATTGAATAGTCAAGGCCGTTCAAGTAATAATTATATAAATAGATATGAAATAACTACAACAAAAATATACACAATGAGACCTTATTTTGTCATTCTTTACCGACCTTTGAATGTGTCAATATTTGTATGCTTTAAGAATAATATGTCTATAGTTTTAGGTCCAAATGTAACTTTTAAAGGATTAAAAATATAAGTACAAAAAATAGTCATCGACATAAATGGACTGATAATGTAAGTCTGAGTGCTGAAATTGAATTCTCGTATTCGATACTCAACCGATTTCCGCTTATGATAAAAATAGAATAATAATGCTTTTAAAAAGAGCATTAATGCGATGAATAAAAATAAAAACAGCATCGATATGAAACTAACAATCGATAAAATCAAAAGGTTTAAGAATAACACATAATAATATCAAAGGTATTACAATACTTTAACTAATAATTAATAAGATATACAATTTTATTCAGTAATCATGCATCATAACCCTCATCCATCATTTAAGCACTGTATTCTGTGACAGTTAAAATCTTCACTTCTTGCATTACTGTCTGGTACAACTGCACTGGACTGGAAATTTTACACTTAGATTGAGCGAGATAGTGCCGTCATCTATTGAATGATTTTTCTGACAAAATGGGGTGATGGGTTTTATTACTTCGCCACAACATGGTCCACTAAAAACTTCCTACGTGTAATTTATAGGATATAAGCGCAGCTACGTCGTGGATGCAAGTGCTTCAGCAGCACTCCACCATAGCAAAACTTAATTTTACTTAAGCAAGGCAGTTTCGGGATGGGCTTTGTGGCATTGTGTTTATACATTTACAGTCTTTTGCGTGTAATATCAAAGAAGTAGACCCACTTCTCAAAGCTAAATAATATAACCAGTTTGTATTTCTGCAGCGAAAGAGCAATTACATACAGTCCAGTTGCGTAAGCTTCTCCGATATTGTGTACAGAACCCAAAAATTTATTTTCCATAGTTTTCCTGGGGTAAAAGTAAAGTAAAAGTACTCCCACTGATGGGCATATGCCTCGGCTCATTTCTGAGAGGGTTTTAGGGCAAGGAAATCTCCGCCGCGCTGCCCTAATGCGTGTTGGCGAACTTCACATGTCTTCGAAATATTTACTCCATAGTTAGTTTTTCCTGGGGAAGGTAGTTTTATTTCATAAAGTAGGTAGAGCGATTTTGATCCTCAAGCTATTATGGTGTGATCCACTATTATTTAACTTTATAGCTATAGTATAATTAGTTATGAATTCCATTCGACAAGCTAAAGTAATCTGAAGTCATCTAATACGAGAGGGTCGGACTGATGTGCGACATCAGGCTAGAAATTTCGCTGTTTATGAAATAAGTTTTTTTACTGTCCTTCAGCTTATATCATTTTACATTTTCACCAAATGTTTTGCTTATTCGTTTAATAGATGCAATGGTCTTAAGATAAGAACGAAAGTCATAGAATGTACTACCATATACTAATGTGCTAGTTGTTAAAGATTAATATTAAAATTCTCAACAGCACTGCACTGTAAGCTTGACGAATGCCTCAGTATAAATCTTAGAGAATGCTCTACCAGTCAACCCATAGATTTGTGAGATTTTGACATATATATACGTGTGTACGAATATACATGACATGGATGATTTATGGAAAATGTGTTGTCTTTAATGGATGATCACGCACCAGCTGTTTAAAAGCATACTTATTGGGACCTTTTCTGATGTCATCGGGCAAGGAGTTCCAAAGGCATGTAGCCTATACGGTAAATAAGTTTTTTTAATAGCATTAGGTGACAAACGAGCTCACAGTCCACCCGATGGTAAGTGGATGCTGTGGCTCATAGACATCCATATTTATCCTCAACTAAGAATAAAAATGCAAATGCGTTGTCATTCCTGAGGACTAAGATGGAATGCCTCGATTCCGGTAAAAAGGGTCTCCGGTTCTCTACACTCACCATACGAAACACAATAGCATTACGCTTCTATTTTATACTGGTATTTTGGGAGAGCGTGGTCCTGCCCAGTTGAGCCGACTCATTCGTGCTACCATATTCGCTCTACCATAAAACTCTGTGAAATCCACAGGAATACATATTTTGTTGTTAGAAGAGTAATGTATAGAACCTGTCTATCATGAGATGAGGCAAGTAATATTCTGGAATTGTGCACCTGCCAGATATATAAATCTAATACAGATATTAAGAAGGTGTTTCAGCCTGTTCAGAAGATCTTGGTACAGATCCGGGTAACACACATCTGCATAATCAATTATGGGTAATATGAGCGATTGAACAAGCGTGATCTTATATTTTGTGGGTAGAAAATGTTTTAAACGATACAAATAACTTCACTTCTTCATGGAAACCCGAGTTCTTCAATTCAACGTACTGTCGATATATAGGCCAGGATTTTTTACAGACTTACTGAATGGAATTGTATTACCATTGTAATAAATAGGAGGTAAGTCTTCAAGATTAATCTAGACTAGCACCCTCGAGCTACCCACCGAAATAGCTTAGCATTTCAAACCATTGACCAAAACTGCATAACGAGTAGAGCAATCTTTCATAGCTGTAAATTTGTCCTTAAGTTTTTTGATTTTCTTATGGATATCCCCGATTTCAGCTTGTAAAAACTTCTAACATTACATGGACTTCTCAGAATAGTGTATTTCATTACGAGTGCGAAAAGCCTGTCATTGCAAAGAGTTCTGACAAATGCCTACCCGAGCCGAGGCGCAGCCGAAGTTGAGGGTTAACAGTCAGAATAAGTTGCAATGACGGTTCCGCACGTGTACTGAACAACTATTTTTAATACAGTTGCGAAAAAATGAAGCAATTTAATAAAATAATAAAAATACAATAAACTCTACTAACTTGGGTATTCATTTATATCCACGTTGTTCCTTATTTCTGCATACTTTTCATCATCGAAAACCTCGACCATGACGTAGAAGGTTTTAATTTTGCTAAGAGTTTGGAGAAGTATGCCAACATAACATTTTCTGAAAAACTATTTGCTTTTTTCTCTTCTCTCCAAGCAATAAATTCGTCGTATATAAGATATGTAGCGACTTTTTGACTTTTCCGATAAAATGTTCTCCGAAGCATTTCGTGCAATTATACTGAGTTCTAGTGGTGTTAATTCAAATAAAATATCGTCAAAATTACTCATTTTGTTCAACAAACAACTAAACTCGCAAGGAACATTTTTGAAAAATGTCGCCAACCGTAAAAGAATATAAGCAGAGATTTTTTTGTTTTCTTCACCCATTCTGGGTAGGCAAAGGGAACTATGCCCATACAGCCAAGTCTTCAGTAGATTTTTTTTATTGCTATGAAATGAAAATGAAATTTAAGGAGATGAAATGAAATGAAATGAAACCTAACCTAAATTATTGAATCAAATCATTAAATCTGACATTGAAACAAATTAGTAGCTTCTTTTTAGAATTATTCGAATCGTAAAAACTTCTATGATTTTTTTTTAGTAAAAACTTCGTGGTTGGTTTTTTCGTTTTAATAGACATTATTTTGACAGTTGGGAAAAAGAACGCACGAGTTCGGAAAAGGTAAAGAAAAAGCTCAAGTAGGTACGTAATAGCCAACATCCCGAGCGCTATACGTCCCTGCAATACGCCACTTTTTTAGCAACTGTATTAAAAAGTCTTTTGCAAACTAATAACTATGTCACACCCGGGCTTATTTCTGATTATCAGAAGATTAAAGTGTTTGTGTAAAATTTTACGAACGCTCCCCTTACGTAATTTGCCTTATTTGTTTGAATAAAACGCAATACTTAAATTTAGCTCGTAAAAATGTGGAAGAAAATATATGTACTTGCTAAAATAATTTAGTTTTTGAAATAATTTATAACTAGCCATTGTCTCACACAAAAAAATTCGCAAAACTTTTTGCATGTCCAATCGTGCTCAACTGGAATTAGCTGTATTGCAAAGGCTTATGCTGAAATTCTAGTACGTAGTACGTAGATTTTTATTAATGTGTTTACTTTTTACACAACATTGTGACTAACTTAACCCTTTTTAGAAATAAAATTTTGATTCTTATTATATACTAATATATGAAAGAAAACTATCATTATCTTAAATTTAAAATTTAAAAATCCCCGAACAGATCTGATGAACTTCAAACAGCTGAAAAGATTTTCTTGAATTATAGCCAAACTCTACATCAAGTCACCTTTCAAACAAACGAAAACTAAATTTAAATCGGTTCATCTATTTGAGAGCCACGATGCCACCCACACAAACATATATACCGACATATATATATAACACGCCTCTTTTTCGACATGTTTAATAACTACTTTACTTTTTGGTTATTTACACTTTAATAGCATTAATAAATTGCTAGGTCATCCAATTTGAAATTTTCGTCCACAAATAAGTTGTTTATTTGACTGGAAATGGCTATGACTACTTATTGGTATTCTTATACAATGTATTTATGTATAACAGTTTCGTTTTGACGGTTAAAATTTCGGTTGCGGTGCTTACGCGGGCTTACGGGTTCAATATCACACGAAACAAGCGTTTGTATGGCCTGCAAATCGTTAATTCATGTCTCGAAGTTTGTATTGGTGTACGTAATATGCTTCCACAATACAGAAAAAAAAAACACTACTGTGGGGATTGAATACTATCCCACTACTCATCACGCTCGATAAGCGAATTGGTGAGTGCAGAGCCAGTACCCTTGCACATGTCTATAGAATTTTATATTTGTATTTTCGTTGTTGAATTTTACGCCGTCATTCCATTGCGAGAGATTCATCAGTCGATCACCAAGTAGAACCATGTGCATTTGAAATAGATTGGAGAAAAACTTCTTAAATTGCCCCTTTCACTTTACCTTTACCCCGATAACGAAACATAATTCAATTGTAATTTTATTAGATTACCTTTCGCTTTGAGCGTATAGAATCAACTTGACGTTGAGTGAGTTCCCCTATGGAACGTGACCCCCATAAAACACGTCCCATCGCCGAATAAAAAAATATCATTCCAAGCATCGGTACGGCGTACGTTATCACGAAGAATACCACTTGATACCTGAATGAAAAATACATAAGATAATATGTAGGATTAATGCTATGACGCTTAAATGTATATGATTTAACATCTAAAATAATGCAGACGAGCTGTCATTCCTGAGGTTTAAGATGTAATGCTTCATTACCAGTAAAAAAGGGTCTTTGGTTCTCTTCATTGTTCGAAAATTAGAATAAAACTGCTATATCACACCGGTATTTTGTGCAAGTAATCCTTCCCCGATCGAGCCGAGCTATTCTTGCTACAGCAATAATATAACTTTTTTTACATTATAAGTAATTCTAATACTTTTATGAACTTTTATTTGCTGACACATGCTTATTAAATACGGATTAAAGACATTTCAAGACTCCGAGTTCTCATTATTTCTGTTTTCTCTGAAATAAAGTAAGAACCAATAAGATCCCTTATTTATATTGAATAAGAATCAATCTTAACATTGTAACTCAAAGTCAGTTTGAAACAAAAGCTATGAATTCTAAACAAAATCGGAATCATGTTGTTTTATGATTTTTTAAAAATATTAAACAAATATTTTGGACGAACTTATTTAATACATAAAATACTTACACAAAGTCCATATAAGAAACATCAGGTAATCCATCTGGCCAGGACAACAAACAAGCGGTTTTTAAAGTGCCTTTTGACCTATACAAAAAAATTTAACATCAATATTATTAAGCCCTAAATGATATGTAAATTGCATATACTTACTAAATTTTATCAAAAAGGTTGTTATAAATACCGACGTTATATTAATAACGTGAACGACATGTATTTAGCCATCGAACATCTGACATAATCAGATATGCACCATGAAGTCAAGTGTGAAAATATTTGTTGAATTATTTATCGCAAAGTGTTGTTTGCTCTTGAGAAGGACAGTATTTAGTAACGAGTAATTTTGGAGTTAATCCCATGTGACATTATGAATAGAGAAAATTGATAAATATAAGAATTCACATTTGGTAAATACCACTAGGTTGCAAATTCCGAAATCATATATTTTTATATGTAAAGTTATTATATATATATATATAAATTATGTATGTTCAATTATGGATTTGTGATGGTCTTTAATGATGGTGATTACACTGAAATAATATTTTAAAACTATGTCATTGAACAACTAAATCTAAGTATATATATTTTATTATGAATTATTTTAAAAACTATTAATATATATTTTTAATTTCCTAAGAGCTAAAGAAAAAATTTTCGAAGCCAAAAGGTCTAGTAGTCGTAAGTATTACTGCTGATCATGAGGTTCCGGGATTAAATCCCGGATGAACACAATATCAGATCAGACAGACCAAAGTCATTGGCTTTTCTGTCATAAATTCTCAGTTACAACCTGGAGTCACAGAAAGGCGGCAATGTTGTAACCTCGTATCTTAAAAATCAGGTGAAGCCGTTGGTCCTGTGCCTACCTATGAGAGTGATGAATAGAGATTGCATCTGTGCTTGCGCATACACTCGGGCACTGTAAACCTGTCCTGCACTGAAGACATTATTACATTTTGTTCTAAGCCTAACATTTATAAAATAACTCTATAATAATTTATGGGAGGCCTTCAAAAAATTCTTCATACACTTTTTTAAGTTAACACCACATTAGGATCTTTAAATGTATCGTGTTGGCAGCTTACAAACATACATTTCACAAGGACCAACATTCAGAATAGGAACAATTATTTGTAGACCATACAAATACTTGTTACTGGCGGGATTCGAACCCGCAGCCCCAAGCGCTCCAACTCATTCCTAAGCCACTGCACCACGTAGTCGTTACATATAGGAATATCCATTGTGATCTGTTTGGTTATGACGGTTACTACATATATCCTCATTACGAAGTCTCTATGACGCAGAAAAACTCTAAGAATAGCCCTCCTTATATCTCACTGAACGATCTCGGGCTTACTTATGCGGTCAATACTGAGCTGGCTATATCCAAGCGGCTCGAGGAACCGACCGAACCGACAAACGATATGATGTAGAAAATTTCTCGTGTGGTAGCCTCGTACTAGTAAGCTACACTTCGTAGGGCGTCTACCCACTAGATGAAGTGAAGATCTGGTAAGGCATGCAGGATGGAAGCAATTGGCTAAGACCATGCTTTGTGGTATTCCTCGAGGAAGGACTATGATCAGAAATGGACTTATGATGAACTGAAGATCTAGGAGCATATGATGATAATGGTGGTGTTGATAGTGATGTTGATGATAGAAAACTAATAAAAGCTTAACTGCAATTTATCAATTATGAACAGTAGGTTCTTTCTTCTGTTTGAATATTGTTTAAAATTATTAATAAAAGATTTATTACTATGCTGTCATTATTTTTACATATTTAATAAATTATAGTTTAATAAAACTAAATAAATAAGCTAAATATAAAATTATTTTATTTCATCCTGGATACTAGGATAAAATTATTAAATTATAGTATTGTAATCGGTCTTTATTACGAGTTCAAATTTTTAAGTCAATCAGCCATCTACACGTTGGTGAAACTTACATTAAAAGATTTCGTTACATCGACAGAAAAATGGATCGATAAATAGATACAAGCGAATTAGTGATCGATGTAAGCGAAGCTAATACAAGCGTGTTAAAGTTGAATAAAATGAATAAATAAATAAAAAACAGAAAAGGCGAGTGAAAAGATACTTACCTGTATTCTTTCGTTGTTGAATAAAGTAAACATGGTATCGCTAGAAGCATACCACTAATCCATATTCCAGCAATCATTATCAAAGAGCATGATTTAGACATCCTTGGTCTCATTGGTCTGACGATAGCTTGATACCTACAGAAACATGCATTTTATATATAAACAGAAATTTATTTTTGAAAGTTGGAAAAAATATGAGTTAAAATTGACTTTCAAATGCCTATTATCTGCCAGTAATTAAGTTATATTTGTGTCATCGACGAGCAAATTGTAAATAATGGCAGCAATAATGAATGTATCATATATAGGCAGAGTAATAAGCGACATTAGTTTAATGGTAGGGTGCGGACCGCGAAATCAAAAGGCATTGAGTTCGTATCCGCCATTCGACTATTATAGTGTACTACTCCTAACTATTTTATGCTTTAACCACTCCTAACTATTTTATACTTTTTGCTAATTTTCCCTTTAACCGCTCCTGGTAAGCATAAAACGTATTTTATGCTTACCAGGAGCGGTTAAAGGGAACATTAGTAATGTTGATAGCATTGCTAGTATTTTTTATATTAAATAGAATAGACAATGAAGATGAACGCAAAATTATGGTTTTTGAAGGAAAATAAAATAAAACAATATGGGACAAAAGAATAGAAAAAGAAATCGTCGAGCAAGTGGATGAGTTTGTGCATTTAAGACGTGTGTTTCTCGGAGATAGTACTTATGACAAAAAAGACCTGGGGAAATCAAGAATGAATGCAGGACTCAAAGTAAAAAAAGGAGTTCTTCACTCTATTATGAAAAGTCACCATGTTCCCATAAGGCACGCATGGCAATTCAATGACACCTTTATTTTTTACTTATTTATTTACACTAATGTACTAAAGGTACAAACGGCGGACTTAATGCCATATGGCATTTTCTACCAGCCAACCGGAAAGTTAGTGGGAGATGTGTGTACTGCAGTGGGCTAGGATGAAACCTTAAATTGATAAATTTCACATACACATACACCCCACACACACACACACACACAGACACACACACAGACACACCACACACACACACACACACACACCACACACACATACATACTCATAGCTCAAACTTAATTAAATATATATAAGGATTTAATAGATTAAATGTTATAGATTATTTATATATTTATGTGTCAGATGAACCCAAATAATGTTCCTTTACCTTTGTTTTGAAAATCCACTTGTTAGGGGATTTTCTTATTGCTAGGGGAAGCGCATTCCAGATTTACAGCAGTAACAGCAAAAGAGTTTGAGAGGAAACCAGTACGGTGAGTGAGGTGGATACTCCCTGTAAAGAACCCAGGTATTGAAACTTACATTTCAAATACTCTGGGGCCAATGGATCGTTAAGAATAGTGAACACAATGCTAAGAATTCTAAGGCTCCTGCGTTGTGGGATATTTAACCATTTAAGTTGAGAGCGATAGAAAGAGACGTGGTCATACTTTCGAAGACCGTAAATGAAACGGATACAGTTGTTGAGAAGCCGATCCAATTTATTGACCAAGTATTTGTCTGCATCTAAGTAACACACATCAGCATAACCAAACATAGGAAGAATTAGCGATTGAATAAGAAGTTTCTTCGTACAAGGTGGTAAGATATTTTTATATCTGTACAATTGTCTCAACGTAGTACAAACTTTACGGCTAACTTCCTGACATGACTACGCCAAGTAAGTGAACAATCCAAGGTTAATCCCAAGTCCCTAACATGAGAGCTGTAAGGAATTACTTCGCCATTATAAATCAGAGGATCGAACGATGTATGATTAAGTTTACCTAATTGACGTGCACTGCCTAAAACTATAGCTTGGCACTTGCTTGGATTAACAGCGACCCCGTACCTTCTTGACCAATTAAGAATCCAGATAAGATCGGAGTTAATCACGGTCACAGCATTATTCACGGTAGTAGCATCGGCATGAGCATAGAGTTGCAAGTCGTCGGCATACATATGATAAGAAGCACGAAAATTACAAGGAATCACGTTTATAAATATAGAGAAAAGTAAAGGAGAGAGAATTCCACCTTGTGGAACACCAGTGGTTGATTCACTCCAATCGGACACCATACCATCGACCCGAATCACCTGCTGGTGACCACGAAGATAGGAGGAGACCCAATTCCGTGCTGATAAGGAAAAACTTATGTAAGACAAGATGGCGATGAGAATATCATGGTCAACGGTATTAAAGGCGTTAGAAAAATCTATTAAAACTAACACCATCAACTTTCCTAACTCCATGCCATCACGCACATCCTCTGTTATTTTTAAAAGCGCCGTTGTGGTACTATGTCCAGGTCGAAATCCTGATTGGTGTTGATTCAGTAAGTTGCTTTTAGTTAAGTGAGTTTGTAACTGTTTGAGCGCTACAGCTTCTAAGACTTTAGATAAAAACGGCAAAATCAAGATAGGCCGGAAATGGTTGAAAGCACTGGGCATAGAGATTTTTGGAAGAGGGAGAACAAAAGTCTTCTGCCAGCATAACGGAAACTTCCCAGTAAGCAATGAGCGGTTTATAATGGAGGTTAAAATTGGTACAATATGATCTGAAACATATGATATCATGGTTTTTCCTATATTGTCATGACGTCCTGGCTTTGATTTAAGATTTTGTAATACTTTTAAAATATCCTTCTCAGTGACAGCAGAAAAAGAGAAAGAATCAGTATGCGGGGATGACATGGAAATAATATCCGAAATAGTTTTCATTTTAATGTGGGATAGGAAACAAGCCACTGTAGAAAAGTGAGCATTGAGATCATTTAATGAGAAAATATCTGAGATTACTTGTTTTTTAGTTTTACTGAGACCATGAGAGTGAATGAACTTCCATGTCTTCGATTGCGAAGAAGTAATTAGGAAGTCATGAAAATATCGGCGTTTACCAGACCTCACCACCTGATTGCAGCGATTCCTAGCCTTTTTGAAGGCCTCCCAGTTCTGTACAGTACGGCAAGATTTATACGAGTATGTGACAAAAGCTCTGTTGCGTCTGTTCATTGCCAGGCGTACGTCGCTGGTGATCCATGGTACTGATGGACGTTTGATATTAACCTCGCGTTCTGGCGCATGTGTATTGTAAATATTCAATAATTTAGAATTAAATTCCATAACCATATCATTAATTGGAGACCAATCAATGGACACATCATTAATTAAGCTATCTATTTAATCGAGCATAGTTGCGTAACTTTATTGTATGAGGGATATGTTTAGGTGGTTTTAATTTATATGAGAGAAATAACAAGTCATGGTTCGAAAAACTAGGAGCTGGGAACTGACCATAACTCGAAACTTTATTAGAAGATGTAATAATTAAATCGATCCAAGAATCCGCGGTAGAAAAATTAGAGTGAATAGCTTTAAGGGGGAGAATGGAGAGTTTGACCGAGTTTATGATGGATCATAACTTTTGAGAATAAGAGGAGTTTTTTAACAGGTCTGTGTTGAAATTACCCACAATAACTTGATGTGTGTACTCAGAGTTATCAAGGATAGATTCCAAAGTGGAGAAATAATTAATAGAGGGAGGAGAGTAAATGACTCCAAGAATAGCTTTGGCCCCCTTTAAAATAATTTCAAGAAACAGATACTCCATATATTTAGCCTGTTGATCAAAAGTGGATATTACTTTAAAGGTTATATCACTAGGTAAGTAAATAGCGACTCCACCTCCACGCCTTAAAATTCGGTCCTGTCGTACCAGTACAAGGCTTGTAGACCATATGATGTAGAACATAGGTTAGGTTTTAACCAGGTCTCGGACACTAGTATAGCATGGACGAGATCAGCTGAGAAAGTAGTCAATAATTCAGTATAATGACATGGAATACTTTGCGCATTAATATGACATATTATATTAAGATTGGAGTGAACAAAGTTAATAAATGTATCAGAAATTTGTTGCTTTAGGGCGACCTGAAAGTTATAATCATCACCATCGGAGTGAAAAGACGAGCTCATATCACTTGCTGACACAAAAACTTCATCATCAGACATAGTAATTTAATATAAATATAATATAACTAAGACAAATATTTACAAAACTAATGAGATATATAATGCTGGAATATAATTTATATGTATAATATAATTTATATTTATATATATTTGTATATATATATATACTATTCTATCACACCCCCTTTCCTCAAGTTGACTGATAGTTACAAAGCAGAAAAAACGAAAAATTTAAATTTACATAATTAAAAATAAATAAAAATACGAACATGGCAAAAGATAACACAAGCTGGATACAAGTCTTCCAAGTAATATTTAACAACAATTAATGCAAAATTTCGTTAAGGTATAAAACAATGTAAGTACGAGGGCGGCACTGAAAATTTCGGGAATCAAGGAAGTGATACAACATTAATATTTAAAAATGTATTTATTGCTTTTCGAAGTATTCTCCGCGAAATTTGACATATTTTTCCATGCGATGGAACCAATCATTGAAGCAACCATTTCATTCGGAAGTTGGGGTCTCCAAAATGGCCGTTTTGTAGACGTCCACAGCTTCTTCAGGTGATGAAAATCTCTGTCCACGCAATTTATTCTTTATTTTAGGGAAAGTATAGAAATCATTAGGGCTTAGGTCGGGGCTGTACGGCAGATGGTCTAATAATTCTATGTTTTCTTGCTCTAAAAACTGTTTTGTTCTGTGTGCGGTATGAGAACTCGCATTGTCGTGATGGAGGATGATGCGGCGGTTGCAGTTCTCTTTACGGATTTCAGAAACGACCTGTGGCAAACAAATGCTAGCATACCATTTTGCATTAACCGTTCTTTTTCCCTCAAGAGGAATAGTCGTAACATAGCCGGTTTTGGAGACAAACGTGGCCAACATTTTTTTTGCAAGACTCCGTGAACGAACAATTTTTGTTGGCTTTAACTCATTTACGAACACCCAAACTCATGACTGGTTTTTTGTTTCGGGTTCGTACGCATATATCCAGGATTCGTCACCTGATACGATGTTGTATACAGAATTTGAGGATCCTGCGTGGAATCTTTCGAGAGTTCTGACGCACCAAGTAACGCGAGCCGCTTTTTGCTCTTCACAGAGCGAATGCGGTATCCATCGGGAAAACAACTTTCTTACACCTAATTGTTCATGCAAGATTATTTGTATTTGACTCATGCCAATTTCTAAAGTTGCTTGAATTTCGCGGTATGTCACATGTCCATCTTCCTCAATCAGCTTACGCACAGCATCAACGTTTTCTTGGGTGACTGCAGTTTTTGGACGACCTTGACGGGGATCATCACTGAGCTTGACACGTCCACGTTGAAATTCCGCAAACCAGCGATAAATTGTGGTTTTGGATGGGGCTTCATCACCAAATGCAGAAATCATGCGGTCAACACACTGTTTTTGTGTTAGACCACTTCGAAAGTCATAATAAACATCGCTCTTGAATTTTCTCGAGTCAATTCCATTTTCTCAACGACTAAACAAGTTTGACAAAACCTTGTAACAAGACCGAGAATCTTTTTTACAATAAATAAATGGTATTCGATTTTTAAAACCAAAGAGTTTTCAATTTTTTTTTATGGTTTCCGCCGGTGGGTACACCCCCACCAACAGGAGTATATTGGCAGTTTTCACAGTTTTGTACACTTTTTAAACATTTTTTTTATTACTTATTTCTATGACACATGGAGAAGGCTACGCGTTTCTGCTATTTGATACATATTGCGTATGCCTTCTCTTTATATTAATATAATTTGTTTAAGAGTTTGAAATTTTTGTACATAGTTATTATTCTAATAAAATTATCATTTGGTTATCATAGATATTCTTGTGTTTTCGTAGTCACATCAGAAAAGAAAAATAAGAGTGATGAAAATACAAAAAGAAAGAATAAAATGAATTAAATACTACAACAAAGAGTAATCTTGACTCTAAGCAAAAGTATAGTATAATGACAATTAAGTTATATTAATTCTAAACACAGAAAACGTTGTATAAAGACAGCAAAAAGGGAGGAAACGAACTCATAGAGTAATCTTAATTCTAAACGTTTTATAGTAACAGTGGTATAATAAAATAATATAATGACAATGAAATTAATTGTAATAAACAATCTTAGTTCTAGGCACATGAATAAAAATTGTGAGTACAATAGGGTTGATAACAGTGAAAATTAAAATATTAAAAGCTCAAAGGATCTTAATTCTAATGATAATCAAACGTTTAACAATTACAACATACAATAATTATTAATTATATCTAATAGAATAAATAAAGAAAACAAATTAAAGAGAAGTGGTTGCTTAGTTACTAACTATTACTATTTACAGATGCACAGTTCTTATTGAAGTTCTTAAGTCTTTTAAAAATGTTATTAACAAATTGAATGAAAGAGTCCAAAAGGGACTCCTTCTTCATTAATGCGGTTAAGTTAAATGGAGGAGTTCTTAAATTTTCACAAAGTATGACATGATTTAATCGTTGCACTGAAAATGCTGGGCAATGCTCAGTGAGATGTTCCAGAGTTTGTGGGGTGACGTTATCACAAGGACAATAATTATCGTCAATTATTTTGCAGCGATAAAGATAAGCTTTGTGAAAACCATGGTTGGTGAGCACCTGGGTGAGGTAAAAACTGGGTTTGGTGATAGTGCGTAACTTCTCGATATCCTCCAGTGTTGGAAGCAGTCGTTTGGTATGCTGGCCCTGCTCTGCGCTATAATACCTAGCTTGCCAGGTCGCGCGATTTTGAGTTCTGATTGTGTGTTTGAGGTATGAAACGGGAAAGGCCAAGTAGTCAGGTTGTTTGCGCAACTTGGAGCCAGCATTCGCAGCCTTATCAGCTGCCTCATTGCCAGCTATGCCAGAATGACTCCTGACCCATCCCAATTCTATGATGCCTGTTTCTCGGTATTCGTGTATAGTTTTGTGTATTTGTGTAATGATGGGGTGTGTGTTGCTTCTGTTTTGTACAGCGTGTATAGATGAGAGTGAATCTGTATAGATGACTGTGTGTGTATATTTGTGTTCTTTGATCCACCAGCATGCCTGCAGAATGGCAAATAGCTCCGCTTGAAATACTGTACACGTGTTGTGCAATTTAAACTTCTTTATGTAAGCCACTTGATTAAGATTAGTAGGGAGATAGCCCACGAAAGCGGCTCCCACTGCACCGTCTTCCTGCTTACTACCGTCAGTGAATATAAAATGTGTCGTCTGTTCGGATGCAGATCCCGTAGATGTGAAGTTTGTAAATATTTTAGGAATAAAGGAAATACGTTGGGCAGGATGCAGGAGTTGAGAGACGGGAGTTGGTTTTTCTAGAGGGATGTCGCTGGGGATGTAGTCAGAGGTACCCAGAAGCCGAGCTCTTTCCACAGCGCAAACTTCCCGCACTTTCAGGTCCAGAGGCATAAACTGGGCTAACGCCAGGGCCGCGGATGAAGATACCGTGCGGAATCCCCTAATAGCCTTAATGGCAAATCCGCGCTGCATGCTCCCGAGTGCTCTCCTGATGCACCTTTTCTGGGCAACGTGTCCCCAAATTCCAGCAGCGTAGGTGATAGTTGGCACGATCACTTGGTGGTAAATGGTACTGATGTTCTCAGGATGGGCTCCCCATGTGGGTCTCGAGTACATACAAAGTGTGTTGAAGATTCGCACGGCCTTGTTGATAACCTGTTTCACGTGTTTCCCAAAGTTTAGTTTTTCGTCTAAGATGACTCCCAACAGTTTAACCTCTGGCACAAAGGAAAGACGGTGTCCGTCCATGTTAATGCTGGCTACCTTAGCCTTGGGAGTGAAGGCAATGAGCTTAGTTTTAGTGGGACCGAAGGTCAGCTTGACGCTCCTTCCCCACTCGACTATATGGTGGAGAACTAAGCTGGCAGCACTCTCCAGCTCGCCGACACTCGCGGCCGTGACAACCAGCAAGACATCATCCGCAAAAGCCTGTATGTGACAGCCCGCTGGAAGCCTCCCATCGAGCAGCTCGTCTAGTATGATATTCCAGAGAACAGGCCCACACGTGGAACCTTGTATGCAGCCCTTAGACATCGTCTTGGTGACTCGCCTCCCCGCATGGTCAAGGATGACCTTCCGATCGCGGACATAATCCTGGATGAGTCCAAAGATGTTATTAGGGCATTGAATATGCCGCAACCGGTGGAAGAGTGCAGGCCGCCAAGCGTTGTCGAAGGCTGCTTTAATATCTAGAGATATCGCGATGCTGAGGTGTTTTTCTGATTTGGCTAATTTAATTATTTTAAGAGCTGTGTGAATGGCTTCGCACGTGTTTGTTTGTTCCCGGAAACCGAACTGAAATTTGTTTAGTCGATTGTTTCGCTGCGCGTGATATACGACCCTTTTGATAAAAAGCTTTTCCAACAGTTTGCCAAACACAGGTAGAAGTCCTATTGGACGAAAGGACTCTAATGCGCTGTAGTCGGACTTGCCCGGTTTCGGGATAATTTTTACGTATGCTGTTTTCCACTGGGCAGGGAAGTGTTGGAGTGTAAGACAACGGTTCAGTATATCTGTCAGGAGTCTAGGGTAATCTGTTGCAAAATCCTGACATATGTCGGATGTGAAGTTATCAAGGCCGGGAGCCTTCTTGGGGCTCATTTGTTTTAAGCACTCTAACACCTCCTCCTGGGTGAAGGGAGGATCATCGTGGAACTGAGGAAGGTCAGTCATTTCTGATCTGAGCTCGTGATGTCGCGTTAAGGTGTCTGGTGAGTCATCTGGGTAGAAGTGGTCAAGAAGTGCTTTGGCAGTCTCCTGGCTGTCTGTGGTGTAGGTGGAGCCCCTATTGAGTGTGACTGGTGGGCGCCTAGGGGTGGCATTTTTGAGAAGTCTGTTCGTGAGTGACCAGACATTTTCCTTAGTTTGGAATTCGCAAAACTCACGAAAATGCCTAGTCGACTCCTCACGCATCTTGTTGGCGTATAGTTCCTTTTTTTGTTTCCTCGTTTCTAAAACAATTAAAAAGATTTTAATGACAGGAACAGTGGAAATATTCCATTCCCAATACTTTTAGTGCAGCCTAGTAAGGCTTAATGGTCCACATACCTATGCCTTAACCATAATCTGTCACTGTCATTCTAGTGACCAAAATATTATGACGGAATCAAGAGAGTAACAAGAGCAATAGTCAAAATTGCAAAAAGGAAATAATAAAAAATTAAATATACCATTGAGCTATTATGTACTACGTACTAGAGGCGACACTGCATTCAGCTACTCTGTTCCACTCAACTGCGGTGCATACACCGTACTTTAATCAGTCACTCGCTAGGCGATTGTAGAGTTGACACATGTTGTGTTGATTTAAAAAAAATCTCTTGATAAAAATATGCCGTCGTGTGTACTTAGATATTGCACAAATAATTCAAGAAATGTCAGTAAAAACCAAGGAATTACTTTTCATCGGTTAATAAGATACTTAATCAATAAAAACGTATTATGTATTAATAATAAAACAAATTATTCCTACGACGCCATCTCGTGGCATGGAATATAGATTATGAAATTAATATGTTCAGATTCGACATTTCTGTGGGTACTTATGTATAGAACGAATATATTATTATACACATTTTATTGTACAAACATATATAAGTTATTATAATTTGGCAAAACTTTTCATGTTTAAATCTGCTTATTATTCTTTTATTTTGTTTTTAGGTTTCCACATCAAAGTCAAAGAGCTGGTATAAATTCGTCCATTTTTAATTCTCGCGTGCCCAGTATTTACGAACGATTTTTATTTTAATTTAAATAAATATATTTGTATTTTAAATGTTATGTTAATATAAGTTTTGTCAAACATACATTTAGTATCTACGTTTTTTATATTTGACTTAGATACCTTTTAAAATATTCAGATAACATATCATTAAAATGTAATTGTGATATAATATTATATTAAACAAACAAATATAATAAAGAAAATAAATGAAAAAATTTAAATATTGTTCTCGATATAATTTACCTATTCAACAATATATTCTACTATTACCTACTGATCATTCTACCTAAGTTTATTCTATGATAAAAAAAACCAACCGCGCAAACACAGAGTAGCGCACATTTTTTGTTTGAGATAGTTGTTCTAGTACGTAAGTACATATTACTTCAATGAAACATACCTATTTAATTAATACAAATTTGCAAGATCAAACCACTAAACTTACTTATTATTACTCCCACTACTACTTTCAAGATTACAAAACTACACTTATTGTGATGTATTAATGATCTCGTTGCAATTACCTATAACAACTGTATGATGAATTGTATGACCAGTCTACTGAACAATATAAAATGTAGTATAATACTATCGTAGCTTATTCTAGTAGTAACCAAGATTATCATAACAGTGTACATTAAACTTAATTAAAACTTAATTAAAAAATAGTATGAAAAATTTAAAAGAGAAACTTACTACAATAGGAAATTATTATCAACATATTATCAGATAAAATTCAAAACAAGTCTGAATGTTTTCAAAAAAATATGCAAAGATCTATTAATATTTAAAAACTGAAAATAGTACGTAAGTAAGTAAGTATAGTATAATTTATTCATACAAGAAAAAGTAGCGCATCTGTCATAATACAAAAGTCATATTATAATACGACGTAACCAGGGTTGAATTTCGAAGTATAATTACTATCCTAATTGTACCATTATTTCATAGTTTGTAGTATGTAGTATCGTAAATTATTATGATAGTACATAATATTAACTAAGTGAAAATAACATAACTTTCCCTAAAGGTCAACTTGTATTATTATTAGGACCCTTTACTTTTAATATTAACATTACGATATCGAGAATTTCTGTATTGTACATGAGTACCGCGTTTTTTAAATAAAATTAGAATTAGCTCCCTTTATGTTCAATTGGTGCTCGATCGATGCATTTATGTTACATCCTTGATACAACTATAATAAGAGGCTAACACGATAAAAACTCTAAGCCCTAAGCAATCGGTTTGAAAACAGAATTTCAAAATATTTTATGAATCAGATTTTCAGATTCAATTAAGCAGATATGGTTTCCTTTGTACTCTTTTCATTTTACCCTTATTGAATATAAAATATATTAGGTACCAATATTCAAAATTTAACTTACACTAAGTTTTTAAACAAAAATTAATCAGAAATAAAAATAAAACCGGTAAAAAATGAAACGTATAGATAAACTAGACGCGTGATGCCAAAATCCTGGTACATAGGAAAAAAGAAACATGAAACGTCAAACGTGATATAATTTTTGAAAAAAATTAATTAATATTTTGAGGGTCTGAATCCAACCCTGGCCTAATCTTAGTAACGTAACTAAACTAACTGTAAAATAAAACTTTAAAAATGCGTTTATATAATAATTTAATATTAACAAAATGAATATAAGGTTATTTAACCGATGATACGATATCCCATGTTCCTATTTAATCTTTGTATCGTAATTTTTGCACCCTTTTACCACGCAACTAGACATATTTATGACAGGCAAATCTGTCTTGTGCGCGCAATACTGTCGACCGAGTCGCGTTGGGCCTAAACTGTAATTTTAGGGCCAGCGCACTGGTCCGTTTTAGTTATTCGATCGGCCCGGTCCTTACGCTAGTAATATATAAGTCAATGTAAATACTATTTAAGGTTATTGGCCATAAATGTGAATTGGGATTGAAAGTGAGTGAACTTATACACATTTCAACAATACAGTTAAAAGAAAAAGAAAAGGAAAAAAATATACACAAAACATCGACTATTTACAATGCCATTAGTGTAATATTATAACATTTTAATATCAACAACAATAACAAATATCTCAGAGTTATTTGTATCATGAAGTGTAACAAAAGTATATGCATGTAAAGCTTTATATATAATATTAAAAGTTGACAGCATGAGAGTAAAATTAATGCTGTAGAAATGTAGCCATTAAGAAGGGAGTTATTGACTAATATTAATATGTTACGGGTGACTAACAGACACTCAATGAAAGTGTGAAAAATTGTGTAGAAAGAGAAGAAATGCTTTTTAGACACGTAGAAATAATGAGTGAAGAAAGGGTGACGAAGAAAATTTATGCTGCAGAATTGAGAGGCAGAGTCAGTCAGGGACTAAACGGAAGTTTGTTGAGAAATTTAGTGACATATTTAAGATGGGTCAAGTTATAAAATGCACCTTACCGTCCGAGTACACTCAAACGAAGTTCAGTTCGGTGTGGACTGCGCAGAATGGCTTTTTCGGACTTGTTTATGATTTAGTAGGGTTTGAGCAATTTGTTGAACCCCTGGGTGGTTTTTGTTCAAAATATTTTGTGTACGAACTGCTTTAACCCAATGAAGTATGTCGTTTCGTGAAGGTGCACTTCGATTTCGGTGAATGTTGAAGTGGTAACGGAAATCACGTTGAACTGCCATGACAGACTCGTTATTTCGGATGAAGATTTGGTACAAGAAAACACGGTGTTCCAACAACCACTACCTACTAACCACACTAACAAACACACCAAAATACAGGCTTTGACTGACAAACAAATTTTAATACCCTATAAACTTAACGGTTCCAGCCCTACCCCAATCGGCTATTAGGGGGAAAGTGCTAGCCATTTCAAAAAATCTGCCTTCATTACGAGGGCGGCACTGAAAATGTCGGGAATCAGGGAAGTGACACAACATTACTATTTAAAATGTATTTATTGCTTTTCGAAGTATTCTCCGCGAAATTTGCACATTTTTCCATAAGATGGAACCAATCATTGAAACAAATTGGGGTCTCCAAAATGACCGTTTTGTAGGCGTCCACAGCTTCTTCAGGTGATGAAAATTTCTGTCCACGCAATTTATTCTTTATTTTAGGAAAAGTATAGAAATTATTAGGGCTTAGGTCGGGGCTGTATGGCGGATGGTCTAATAATTCTATGTTTTCTTGCTCTAAAAACTCTTTTGTTCTGTGTGCGGTGTGAGAACTCGCATTGTCGTGATGGAGGATGATGCGGCGGTTACAGTTCTCTTTACTGAGTTCAGAAACGACCTGTGGCAAACAAATGCTAGCATACCATTCTGCATTAACCGTTCTTTGTCCCTCAAGAGGAATAGTCGTAACAGGCCGGGTAAACCGGCCAGGTTTTGGAGACAAACGTGGCCACCATTATTTTTGCAACACTCCGTGAACGAACAATTTTTGTTGGCTTTAACTCATTTTCGAACACCCAAACTCGTGACTGGTTTTTGTTTCGGGTTCGTACGCGTATATCCAGGATTCGTCATCCGATACGATGTTGTATACAGCATTTGAGGATCCTGCGTGGAATTTTTCGAGAGTTCTAAACAACCAAGTAACCCACGCGGATCCATCGGGAAAACAACTTTTTTACACCTAATTGTTCATGCAAGATTATTTGTATTTGACTCATGTCAATGTCTAAAGTTGCCTGAATTTTGCGGCATGTCACATGTTGATCTTCCTCAATCAGCTTACGCACAGCATCAACGTTTTCTTAGATAACTGCAGTTTTTGGACGACCTTGACGGGGATCATCGCTGAGCTTGACACGTCCACGTTGAAATTCAGCAAACCAGCGATAAATTGTGGTTTTTAATGGGGCTTCATCACCAAATGCAGAAATCATTCAACATGCTGTTTTTGTGTAAAACGACTTCGAAAGTAATAATAAATCATCGCTCTTGAATTTTCTCGAGTCAATTCCATTTTCTCAACGACTAAACAAGTTTGACAAAACCTTGTGACGAGACCGAGAATCTTTTTTTAAATAAATAAATGGTATTCGATTTTTAAAACCAAGGAGTTTTCAATTAAAAAGATTTTAATATGACAGGAACAGTGGAAATATTCCATTCCCTATACTTTTAGAGCAGCCTAGTATCCCACCCGGTACAAAACCGAACCTAACCATACTTATCAAAAATTCTATTAGTTTTATTCACAATTAAATAAATTTTATTTCAAATGCTTAATTTATAATAATTTTGTCAGAGTTTAAGGAATTTATTTTGATTACTACTATGCTACAAATATTGTTTAAGTACCTGAAAAAGCAACGCTCAAAAAGCCAAGGGGTTTGAAGAGGCCTATGTTAAGTTGTTGACTATTACGACTAGTAAATGGAATAGAAGAGAACATAATAGAGTGGAGTAGAGTGTAATGGAGTGATCAGAACATAACAAAAAATATAGAACAGAACGAAATGGAATGAAATTGAACGGACCAAAAAAATATTACTCGTGGTATAGAATATTGATAAAAATAATGAAATGAAAAACAAATTACAATGTATTAAATACCATCACACATTTTAAATTAAAATTTAAAAAGGGATACAAAATTTAAACATTACAGAGTGCATGGTGAGCACCTAATTCTAAAAGGGTTATTATCAGTCACGTTTTATTTAATATTATAAAAACCCTTTATACTCAGTACTGTATAATTTATAATTTCATTTTCAAAGGAGGAACGCAATTAATGTTGTACAATTAAATACGACAATTTTTAGAAACGGTATTTTCTCAACGACTTAACAAGTTTGACAAAACCTTGTGACGAGACCGAGAATCTTTTTTTAAATAAATAAATGGTATTCGATTTTTAAAACCATAGCGATCACCTTATTCCCACAGATTATCAATCACTTAGCCGTAGAAACTAACTTCTAGTTAGTAAATTTCACAGTAGGCGAGCAACCCAGGTTCAATCCCCGCTGGCGCTAATGAAATTGTTAATTGCAATTTTAAGTGCTGATTTACCACGTGCTTGGCGGTGTAAGCAAATATCGTGAGGAAACCTGCATGTCTAAGAAATAAACAAAAAAATATTTCAAAGACATGTGAAATTTGCCAACATGTATTAGGGCAGCGCGGTGGACATTTCGTTTCACATAAATATTTCGGAAATAAGAGGAGGCCTGTGCCCAGCAGTGGGACATCTGTAGACTTTAACTTTATTATCAATCATGTATTCAAGGAAGAAAAAAATTGTTTATTTACATTATATGGACAAAATTCTTATATAATTTATACAGAAATACATGTTGTAATACCATAAACTACTACAGCCAAGATATATGCAAATTCTGTTGGTCTTATAACAAAAACTATATTGATTACTACATTTATATTATAAATAAAAATCTTACCTATCAAATGAAATACCCGTCAAAGTAAAAACGCTGGCAGCAACAGTAACATTGGCTATGAAGTTACTTAGTTGGCAGTATCGAACTCCAAATACCCAATCACTAAATTAAGAAAGAAAACAAATCAAAATATAACAATAACTTTCTTATATACTTTCTTATATATATCTTAAAATTATATATTTCTTATATATATCTTAAAATTACATTAAGAACACCGTGTAATGGCATATTACGTGGGGTAAATTTCAAATTGTACTAAGTGATCAGAGGTCAAGGAAAAGGATATGCTAAAATAGAATGTAAGTTTTATATTGTAAAGACCACATTTACCTATCACTATCCAAATAACTATTGCAGTTAAAGAACAGCCTCTATCCGAAATCGTCCCGTGGGTGTCAGAAGACGTGACAGAGGATAACATAAACAAGAGATGGACAGCAATATCTTGTTGATAACAACTTGAAATCATAAAAGACTGTGATATCCAATCCGCCTACCAAGCGCGGCAACTGTGATAAAATCACCCTAAGAGGCAATCTCCCAGAGATTGCCTGGAGGAGGCATATATTCAGCAGTGGACCATAGTAGGTCATAATAGATGGATGAATGAATGGAAAACAGTTTACTTTAAAAACGAGCCATGCTGCCATTAGTAGTATAGTTGTAGCACGAATGGGTCGGCTCGATCGGAGAAGGACCACGCTCTCACAGAATACCAGCGTAAAATAGTAGCTTAATGCTGCTATGTTTCGTATCCTTGGGGACCTTTTTTACTGGAAACGAGGTATTCCACCTTAGTCCCCACGGGTGACAACGCATCTGCATTTTGATTCGTAATCGCGGCTAGATGTAGATACCTATGGGCCACAGCAACCACTTAACATCAGGTGGACTGTGTGCTCGTTTGTCACCCCATCCTATAAAAAAAACCTTAACACATTAAAAGCGTTTGCTATAAGCATCGTATTTTTTATCTGTGGCCGCAGTTTTAAGCACCTGGTACTTAACATGCTGTTCTACGTTACTGCTCTGGATATTGTTTTTACAAATCATGATTTGTTAAGTATACTTACCACCTTTACGAATTCATCACAAATTATTATATGATGTGTTAAGCACCGTCTTGCTGTAAAAGTATATATATTTTTATTTGCTTTTGAATCCGCCATAAATGGTGAATTCATCAAGCTTATAAAACGTAAATGGATGTGAATCCATCAAAACAGATCTCTATATCCGATGGTCATAAATCAAACATCTTGACAATATGTGAAGGTGTGTATAATTTTAGTTTTCTTCGTATTTTCTTATAGCTTTTAAATAATAGAAAAAGTAAAATTTCATTTGACCATCTAGTTGTGGTGCAGGGTGATGAAGAAAGATGACAAGAGTGATAGGCGGACCCTAATGAAATAGTTTTTATAAATTCCATTAGTAGCAAAGGAATGGGATAATTTGCCAGCATCTGTCTTTCTATCAGATTACAATGTGGGTCGTGGAATCAGTCACAGGGTTCTTCTATCAAGAAATGCTCACTAGATGTCCGGAGTGAGAAAGTTTCTCACACTGGATCACGGAAAAAATATACAAAGAAAATTGACCCATCTTTTCTTCTATACTCGTATTATCATTGAAAACTCAGTTATAAATAGTTCGATAGATTACTTCAAAATGCTTGGTTTCGTACTTACATAACAAAATATATAAAAAAGCAACACCTCTTTATGAGCTGTGATAATCCAAGGGAATTGGTTGGAATAATTGCGTAAAAGCATTAAAAACATTCTTTGTAAACCTTTCGTTATGGAGATTACAAAATAAACATTAAATACATTAATGAATACACAATTATGTTCGTATTCGTGTTACCATCGGTTCAGAATACGTCCGAATATTTCATATTATTCAAACGTCCAAAAGTGATTGAAGACTTAATTTAAAAAATCCAATAGGTTCACACACACGTAACAAATAATAAAAACTTGTTAATGTACACGTACTAAAATATACACACACTATAGAATGACGTATAAAATTTTTAATTGAATTTAGGGTGACCTTATTGTAAGTAAATACTGTGAACACACTGTCTCACAGACATCCACGTCTGTCCTTGATTAAGAATCAAAATTCAAATTCGTTGTTGCGTTTGCGGTTGCTAGTGTTACTATCTCCGGCGTTCTGTGAAGTTTAGTCCTTCCCTAGTTGATCCAACTCATTCGCGCTCCTATCACTACATACTAAAACTAACAACAGCCATAATATCATAGAAAAGGGGGTCTAGAGTGTCAACGTTGTAAGCGAAGTATGCCAAGAAGCCATCCCTAAATAAAGTGACAACCTAGTAAGAGAAGCAGGAAGTCGATTGATACAGATGGCTCAGGGTCGTGCGTTGAGGCGCTTCTTAGCGAAGACCTGTAATTATCACTTGAGTTGTGACGGGTTTTAAATGATGGGAAACTAATTTTGATTTTAATACATGCCTAACACAATATAATTTCACTTACCTATGTAACATGTAGATGAAATTGAAGAGGCAGTTGAGTGATGCCATCATTAGATCAGCGAACGACAAATTCACCAGAAAATAGTTGGTAACTGTTCTCATTCGACGGTGGGCTATATGTTTAAATAAATTTATATATATAATACATGAGAATATTTCAAATTGTACTAAGTGATCAGGGGTCAAGGAAAACGAGATACTAAAGTAGAATGTAAGTTTTATATTATAAAGACATTTAAGCTTTACCTGTCACTATCCAAATAACTATTGCGTTCCCTCCAATAGCAACAGCTAGCATAGCTGTGAAGAGGCACACCCAAGAGTTATAAGCCCACAAAGGCATGGCGGTTGTGGAAGATGGAGTGGGCGTGGGTATCTTGGGCACAAGCAAAGTTGAGGCCCAGAGTTTACTTTGATTGAAGTCCATCTCCCACGTATAGACAATCTGAAAAGAGAAAACTTTTAAAAAGTGTATATTTTTCGTTTAGTGAAAATAATAATTTTAAGAAGAGTTTAACAATATGAAATACTCTATCCTCTAGTCTAGTGCAATAAAAAACAGTTATGAATATTTATTTTATAATCTACGTTTATTTCGTACGCCATTTTCGCGTGAATGTTATTGTGTTGATTTTCGGATTTTTCTGGTATTTTAGTATAGTGTTTTATTTTAAATTGTAATGAAAGTTTTTGTGTGAATATAATTTATCTTTTTACGTAAATAATTTCGAGTAATATATTGAAATAATGGTGATTTTCACGCTGCCGACATTCGCTTGATATGTTTTTTTTTTGTTTTTGTTATCAAAATACAATAAAATATTTTGGTAATGTATGTATCCTATAACTATTGTTTAGACCACAAGATAGAGAATTTTGTATAGATTTCATAGAGCTTCTTCATAGAAAAGTAGTCTCTAAATATAAGTTTTAATCGTTTAAATTGCTGTGGGTGGGTGTGTGGACCGCTCGGGATTTGCCGGGCGCATGCGACTGCATGGGATTTTTATGGCGCTTGAAGGGTAAAAAAAAACAAAATGTACTTGTTTCACAACACTAATAATTTCCTTATCATAAAAAATAAAATAAATACAAAAAATAAAAAAATGCAGTATTATTAGACTATAATATTAGTATATTATTGTAAGAACTAGTTTTTTTCCGCAATAAGCCAACTACTATCCCACCTAACATAAAGAAGGTTTTTATTCAAAGTGGTAGTTGAGCTAAAAGTGATAAAGTAAATTTCTTTCAATGTTATTCCATTTGAAATAATTAATGCTCTTTATAAAAATTAATTCTATTAAAACTTACCTCAGCGTCTTGCATCTCGTCTCGATTCATAAAATTCTGACTTGTATTTGAACTGAACTTTTCTCTCTTGAAAGTTATATTACGCACGTAATTCATACCTTTGAGCAAACTTTAATTCCCCATCTTCATTATTAAAGATCGCGTCTTCTGCGTAAGTTTCAACAATCACGTAAATTCCATTTGTGACAGCGAAGAAAACATTGTTTCAAGTTTGATTTTTAATGTTCTCGAAATAAAAAATCATAGCTGTAAAATTACCATAAATGAGATATTTGAGCATAGTTAGACATTTGCTTCAATCAAAAAGTCTTCAAATATTAATTAATGCGTCGTTTTTCTGAAACAATAGAATATAGTTTAGTTAAGTTTAGTTGTAATGACATTCATACGTTAAAAATTATTTATTACAGAAATCAGATATCAAACTATACAGGTTATTACAACTCTCGTTGTTACCAATAACAACTTAATTTTAGTATAATTGTGATAATGGGTTCGAGAGTTGTTATGCTAAATAAAAAATAAATGTTCTCTTTTGTATATACGTATTTACTGACATTAAACTCTAAGGTTATACATGTTACTAGCAAAATATGCATAAAAATATTACAACGTGTATTTCAGTATTTTAGAAGGCAGTGACTAATCCCATAGCTACTATTGCGTCATTTATTTAGTATGACTTAATACAAAAATGCGAGTGTAAGAATATATGATAATAATATATCTATATATAAATAATATATATAAATAAAGGAAATCATTATTTTCTATTGTGTTATAATTTAAGTTATATACTGTGTAAATCAATAAGCATTTTTTAACATGTGATGGTATTTGGCTGGTTCCAATGATATAAAATCTATCAAATTACTTATTTTTAGGCATCAAAAATAGGAATACGATTGTACGACGGACATTTATATTAATAAAATGAGAACATCATCAATGTAGTTAAAGTCCATTATATTCGCATTATTAATAATAACTCAAAAACTATTGATCAGATCTTGGACCACCTGTACTGGACCACAAGAGAAGCACTAGCTTTCAAATAAAAAAGTATCATCAAAATCGATTCACCTGTAAAAATGTTCTTAAGTTAACACAGAAAAAATACAGTCGAATGAGAAATTCTTCCCCTTTTAAACAAATATAATCTATTCAAAAGATCTCAATGAGAATGGTTAGTTTTTTTAATTAAAAATTCAAACCGTGTAAAATTTTTAAGAAAATGCCGATTTTCACCAATTTATGTTACTTAATTTAATATAAATTGCCATAAAGTGCCAGTTGAGAATATCCACTAATCCATATCCTTCCATAGGTGTCGTAAGAGGCAACAGAGGGAGACATAATGGACATCAGCATCTGCCTGATAATAGCAATTATACAATGAAAATTGCGGTTTCCAAGCGTGGCAACTGTGGCAAATATCCCCCCATGAGCAACGACACACACAAACGGCCACAAGTCCCCGGCGGCCCCGCTAATATATTCTATTAATATATAATATAATTGCGACCATGGTAACGGCGAGCCAGGGGGTGCTAAGAGTCTCTGGTGAAGGTTCGGCATTGGTATTGGTAATATTGCCAAACTGCCACTTAAGACGATTCGACCTGGCAACATATAACGCACGCTTTCCGAGGACTGACGAGAAGATCCTGGAGCTGGAAGTAGAAGTAGACAAGTTGCGCTGGCATATTATAGGATTATCCGATGTCCGAGAAAGGGTGAGGACACGGTGATTTTTGAATCCGGCAACTTGTTCTATCACCGGGAGGGCGAGCATCTGTTCCAAGGAGTTGACGGATTTATCGTCCACAAATCTCGTCAACAACGTTGTAAAGATTGGAAGTGTGTCGACGAAGGTAGCGTACCTTATAGATTTATATTCATATTCATATTCATTTATTGATAAATAATCAGAATCCCCACGGTATTCGAGACCTGCCGCAGAAGAACACAATAACACTTCGATCCCACTCTTAATGGCTGTTAGACAGGAAATGAAGCTGCACTCTTCAGTAGATTTGACAGCATACAGGTAGAAGATTCACCGGAACCACTTCAATATATATAACTTACTTAACTTAACTTCAATATATAGAAGCGATTGCGCGAAACCAGGGCTCAAAGTCTTTGTCGAGATTTGTCTGCCAAAAAGAGTCAATTATCGAAACTGAAGACCGAGTGCAGCAGCATCGTTTCCGGGCACTTGAGATTTTGAGTGATATTTAAAGGTTCTATGGGGTGCTGTACACGTCATCGTTGGACCCACACGCAAGTGTGAGTAACGATCAAAGATCAAGTCTTATCCGACACTATTTCGATGATATCCCGGAAGTCAGTCTGAGTGAGATTAGAATGGCTCTCCAGCACCTTAAAAACGGCAAGTCCCCGGGCGAGGATGGAATTACAGCGGAGTTTCTGAAAGCGGGTGAAAAACCGGTACTTGAAGTCCTGCAGAAGCTCCTAAATTCCTCCATGGTGGCATTACTTTGGAGGCGTGAAGCAAAAGTGCGGTGGTCTTGTTCTTTAAGAAAGGTGACAACGCTCTCTTGAAGAACTATAGATCGATTTCCCTTCTGAGCCGCGTTTACGTGCTGTTTTCAAAAGTCATTACGAATTGTCCCGCACGCAGACTCAACGACTTCCAGCCTCTCGAACAAGCTGTTTTCCGAAAAGGCTTTAGTACCATAGACCACATAAATACCCAAGACCAAAGAGTATAATCTATCACTTTGCCTTGCGTATGTAGATTATAAGAAAGCCCTTGATACTCTCGAAATTTGGGCGGTGCTACAGTCCCTTCAGCAATACCAGTTTGACTGTCGGTATATCGAATTGCTAAAGTATTTGTACAGTAGGGCTATGACGGCAATCCGAGAACAGAACCATAGTACGAAACTTATGCATACATACATATAATAAATACATAAGCACTCACGCCTGTCACCCAGATGGGTAGGCAGAGACTACAGCCTTCAAAAGGAAGGCTGTAGTCTCTGCCTACCACAATCCTGACACAAGTCTCTCGCCTTTTCTACATTCATCCTACATATACATGCTCGTCAGTTAAGGGTATTCTTTATTTGGCCTCTTTTCAGTAGGTCGCCAATTTGCTCGACAAATTTTCGCCTAGGGCGTCCCTTACTGACTCTGCCGTTCACTTCAGCAACATAAATTTGCTTTGAAACTTATCCAACTGCAGAGAAGTGTAAAACAGGGTGACGTTATATCCCCGAAACTCCTCACCGCGGCATTGGAAGACGTTTTCAAGCTAGATATCCGCAGTAGACCCTGAGTGACCGACATAGCCCAAAGGATTAATAATCTGAAGTGGCAATGGGCAGGCCATATAGTTCGGAGAAGTACTTTCTGCAAGCCTCGCTGTTACAAGGCATGTTAAAACGTACCCAAAAGGTTTACAAAAAATGACGAGCTCACGCTTATGAAGAAGTTTTCTCTTTATAATGAGTGGTGTACTGCTGAAAATGTGTCAAAAAAGCAATAACCTTTTGGTCGATCGATATATTATAAAACCTAAGAAGGATAATTTTAATGAATTTCATGTATAATGTATATGACAGAAATAATATAACAGAAATAAGAATACCTTAAGTGAAGAGGAAAAGAAAACATAATAATGGCATTTGAAATCCAAAAATGTAGGAAGGGAAATGATCGAAAAAGACAAAAAGTAACAAAAAAGTATAATATATGTTTACAGTTAGTTACGTTTCACAAAGTGTCTTTGTTTTCTTATCTAGAAATTTACTGTTGTTATGAAAAGTATACTTACTTACTTACGTAAGTAGACTTAAATATCTATTTTTATTGGTAAAGATTTAGTTTGCATTATTAAAGCTCAAAATATTTATCACAAATATGTCAATATTATATTAAATATGGTATATAAAATGCTGTAATACTTCATGCTACTCTGAGTCTGATTAAAGGTAAAAAAGTTAGTTGACCCTACAGGCCATCCCTGGAACTTCCCGCTAATTTAAAATGCAAAGCGCTTCGAATTTCACCAAATTATAATGCGAAATCTCGAAGTCACGCGCACACGCACACGCACACGCGCCCGCACGCCCGCATGCCCGCACGCCCGCACGCCCGCACGACCGCACGCCCGCACGCCCGCACGCCCGCACGCCCGCACGCCTGCACGCCCGCACGCCCGCACGCCCGCACGCCCGCACGCCCACACGCCCGCACGCACGCGCACGCACGCACGCACGCACGCACGCACGCACGCTAGCACGGACGCACGCACACACGCCCGCACGCCCGCACGCCCGCACGCCCGCATGCCCGCACGCCCGCACGCCCGCACGCCCACACGCCCGCACGCCCGCACGCCCGCACGCCCGCACGCCCGAACGCACGCACGCACGCACGCACGCACGATCGCACGCACGCACGCACGCTTAGCATAAAGCTTCTTCGAATCATATACATCATGGAGTTTGCCTTTTTTACTGTGAGTTTCCCATTTGAAGTCACTTGTTATTGTAATGCCAAGGTCTTTTTGTGATTCAACAGAAGACAATAGGTGATCACCTAGATAATATGTATTTCGTGGATTATTTTTCCCTATATGAACCTCTGTCTGCGTTCAGTGTTAGGAGCCAATTACTAGTCCAATCGCAGATGGCATTTAGATCCTGTTGTATAACTTGATATTGTGTAATAGGGTTCCCAAAAAAGTTTGTGTCATCGGCAAATAATGAGAACGGTAGTTGTAACGTGCTCTTCAAATCCGATAAATATAGGATAAATAATAATGGTCCAAGAACAGATCCCTGCGGAACTCCGCTGAGTACTTCCCTGGGTTTAGACATTGTACTTCCAACTCTTACGCAGAATGTTCTGTGTGACAGAAAATCACTGATCCAGGCCAACAATTTCCCGCGTATACCAAAGTGTTTTAATTTGCATATAAGTCGCCGTAATGGCACACAGTCAAAAGTTTTTTCATAGTCAAGATATATCACATCTGTAGGTAATCCATTGTCATGGTTTGAGACCCATTCATTAACACATTGTAAAATATTTCTAATGATTGATCGCCTTGGTACAAACCCGTGATGTTCATCTAAAATCAGTTGTTCTTGTAATAGGAATTCTCTTAATCTTTCAGTTATAATCTTTTCCATGGCTTTACAGAGGATACTTGTCGAACTTATTGGTCTGTAATTACAAGGTCTCATCTTATCGCCGTTTTAATAAATAGGTACGACTGTAGCTTTCTTCTAATCAGTGGGTAAGCGTCCATCCTCCGTGGATTTGTTCATAAAGCTTGATATATGTTCGGTAAGCAATGATGAGCACCGTTTTAGTAATATAGACGGTATTCCATCAGGACCAGTAGCAGTAGCATCATCAAAGGTTAACAAGATCTTTAGTACGATTTCGGCTGTAAATTTTACATCATCAATTGAGTTTATTGCTGTTGGCATATTTATGGAGGGAATTGGTCCATCTATTTCTCTTACGTAGCTATTAAGGAACTGATCGGCAAACAGCTCCGCGATTTTATGTGGTTCATCTGCAAGTTCTTGTGACTCGGTTTTAAGCATGTTAGGAATGGTGACTTTAGAATAAAGTTGTCTTCTAATGTATCCGTAGAAAGCTTTCGGTCCAGAGTCTATAACATTTGTTTCAAATTGAGCTCTTCTATATTTTGACAGTTTAATAATTTTATGATTAATATTTCTAAATTTTAGGTACGAATCTTCTGTTTTATTAATAATATATATATTCCATAACTCTTTTTTCCGTTTTGTTAAATCCAAAATTTTCTTATTTATCCATGATTTCTTATTTGATTTATTTATTTTCTGTGATTTTTTTTACACAATTTTCAAGTGATGTATGTATTTGATTTTGTAAATGATAGCCACATTTCATCTACTTGGTTTTCAATTATATTAAAGTTTTCTGCTAAATCTTTGTTAATTTTGCTATAGTCAGCTTTATGAAAATCAAAAATTTTTTCTTATCGGCACTTTCCTACCGTTATTAATTATCTGCATAGAAGCCAATATGACCAAATGATCACTCTTTCCAATGGGCGGAAGATACTTAATATCAGTTATTAAAGTTTCATGATTACACAGTATAAGGTCTAGTAGGGATTCTGCATTATTACGTTTCCTTGTTATTTGTGTTACAAGCTAATTGAGATTACTGTTTGAATACATTGCTACAAAGCTTTCGCATAGCTTGTCATGTCCGGTTAAATTATCGAGAGGCCATTTTATATTTGGTAAGTTGAAATCACCTGCGATAAATATTTCTATTCTTATATCAAGCGAAAGTCCAATAAATCTAACAGAAAAAATTAACAATATATAATTAAGAACAACGTACTGGCTAACTAAACATAACCTGCGGATAAACTTATCGAAAACTAAAATAATGTCTTTTCACCCATATCAAAAACCAAAATTAGATATAAAAATAGATAATGACTGCTTCACTATAGATACAGTTAACGAACACAACCTACTGGGTCTAATAATAGATACCCATATTACTTGGAAACCACATATAGAAAAATTACATAGAAAGTTAAGCAGCTTTATGTACGCGTTACGAGAAGTAAAAAAAACAACAGATGTAACCACCGCGATAACAACCTACTACGCGTATGCATATGCATGGCTCAGCTACGGCATTGTCCTATGGGGATGCAGTACTGAGGCCTCAAGTTTATTAACTAAACAAAAAAAACTAATACGGATCATAGCTAATCTACAAAACACAGAAAGCTGTAAGCCTTACTTTAAGAAGTATAACATTTTAAGTCTGCCCTGTATCCATATTTTGGAACTATGCAAATTTGTCAAAAAAAATCCAAGCTTGTACACAAAACGCGATGACATCATATCTAGGAATCTAAGACAGAGAAACAAACTAGTGCTACCAACTTCAAAACTAAAATCTCATTCATCCAGCCCATTTGCCATGTCTATAAAAGTAAATAACGTAAGTACTAAATTACCTGAATATATAAAAAAAAACATTAAGAACGAAAAACCATTTGAAAAAAAAATTAAAGCAACTACTTATAAACAAGTGTTACTATAGTACTTCTGAATTTTTAGAAGATAAAAATATAATATAATATAGATATAAATATAAATATGTTAGGTAATAAGGAAATTCCATCCTACTAAATAAATTACAATAAAAAATTATAATAAAATTTAAAATGATTCAAATAATTTAATAAAAATTCAATTGTGCTACCTATAATAATATATCAAATATCAAATCAATTAATAAATAATAACAATTATAACAGCCGTATTACATATTCAATGTGTGTATGTTTATGTAATATAATGAATGTTAATATTAAATAATTATTTAGCAATAATAATAATAAAACAAAATAAATGTTCCTCCTTCATAATATTGCTGTGCCCATGAGGGTCTATAGAGAAACCATAAAACTATGTAACACTTTTTGTAACCTATGGAATGCAATAAAGTTATTGAGTATTGAGTATTGAGTAATCATTGTCTGCTTTGAGGCTACCTTTTCTATGGTGTTAAATAATATTTCATCAGCACTTGTTAAAACATTTGAGGGAGGATGATACACACAAGCTAAAAGTAAATCTAAATGTCCATAGCGTATATCTAACCATAATGCATCAACCAAAGAATTATAATATATTTTATTCACTTTTGATATAACAGGTACATTGTTAACGTCATGTGCAACATACATTGCTACTCCTCCCCCTTTTATTTCTCCTCTGTCCAACCGGAAGAGCGTATATCCGTTTATATTTATAAGGCTGTCATCAATTCCAGAATGTAAATGAGTTTCTGATATCAAAATAAAAGCAGGTTTATGTGTATTAATTTCAAGAAGAAATAAATCAAATTTTGCTATAATGGAAGCCAAATTCGTGTATAGTATGTGGAGTTCTGTAATATTATGATGTGCTAGTTTTTTGTAGTTGTTATAATCTTTGGTATGTTATTGATATATTTGATCGTAAGATTTTGCTCACCTTTTTCTGTTCTAGCCGCTAGTTCTTCACGAAGTCTCCTAAGTTGATATCTTTGATATGGTGTCATATCAGCCTTTACCTTAACAGAGTTTGGCAGCTTACCTTTATTTTTCAGAACATTTATAGCATTATATTTATTGGCCGGGACTACCTTGATAGGATGCGGCTTTTCAATTTTGGATACAGGTTGACCCAAACGGATGACAGTGAGAATTTCCGGTTCTGGAGTTACCAGTGACGTAACAGTTTTAGAAACCTGGTCTTTATCATGACTTTTCTTTCTTCTGGTGAATTTGCTGTAGATTCAGGTATTCAAAACACAATAAGATTACGACTACGATTTTTCCTTTCCTGAATTTAATTTATCACTTTGTCCAAATTAGTACGTTTATATGGTTTTTCCTTAACTCTTGAAACTACTGTTGAAGTTCTGTTACAAGTCTGCGAAGATCTGGAATCTGCCTTAGCCCCTCCTCGCAGTCATCACATAGGTATGACAATTTGGGGGTTTGAAGTGCAACAACACGCATTTCTGTTGCACTTAGTCCACTGCATTTAGTACATATTACTCTTTTGCAGCCTTTGCAATTGATTTTTGGCATCTTATCATCAATACGACTGTTACACTTGAAACACTGTACCATTTTGATTTATTGCCCCCAAATGGTAGTATGATTTAGGTAGTCTATTTTTCTTTATGTGGCAACCCGGTATTGTCTATGGTCACTTTTTGACAGCTGACAATGTCAAATTTTACGAGGGTAGTAAAAGAAAATTTTAATAAACGGATTCAATATTTGATTGTAAAACACAATTTAAACACAAAAATTAACTCAATTCAAAGTCACAGTTTTACTATATTTATCAATTAAACATGTAGTATATAAGTCAATCTCCAAACACAACACAAATAGCACTTTGATTGAACACTAATTCCCAGTGTTTTAATTTAATATGGACAGAGCAAGAAAAACACAAGTTGTTTCAATGACAATCAAAGTCAAACTCCTAAAATAAGCTATCTTAACTCTGATATTCTTTTTTATTTAAATAATTAACTTATTAATGGATGGTTCACGTTACACCGTGTCGCGACCGGGCCGGGCCCCGGTCGAGCCCTGTCCAGGGCACGGTCAAACATCTAAGCATACTTTTGGTATGAAGTGATTCATGCTTGACCGTGGCCCGGTCGTGCGCCGCCTGGACCCGGACGGGCCATGGCGTCAAAATGTGGGTCCTCGGCCCGACCCCGACACGTAACATGAACGTGTATGCCAGGCGCCCGCAGGGCAGTCGACGACAAATCTTTAAGATATGAGTAGCTCAATATGGAAATGGACGATGAAAAATGGCTAGAATGTGTGTGCAAATATCCTGTAGTTCACAGTTTCTCTACGACATGTTCTATCCTAAGTATTCGGATAGTAAATACAAAAATGTGATTTGGAAAACTGTATCAATTCAAGTTGTGAAAATTGCATATTTAACTCAAGCGTCACGTCTATCGACTGATGAAATCACTAGTAGACACAAAACATCTATTATAGACTCGGCCGTGCAAAGAATACACGCAAACAGCCCGGTGTAGCATGAATGACTGCCCACCGACCTATTGACACGGTGTCATGTTTAATATTTCATCAGAAACTAATCTGTGAAACTAAACCAATCTTTAACGATTACATATGTTCACTCGACCACTATTTTTACGGATTAAAATCAGTAAAAATTGTGGTGGTAGCGATAAATCGTGTTTAATTTACTTATTTTCAATTCCGGAATTTTTTACAGTACCCACGGGGGTACTGAGGTGATCGATGTCCCGATGTTAACCCGTAGTACCTTAAGCTATTTAATGATTGATTTTGGTCCGATATACGCAGAATAAACTTACTGTGTCTTGAAGTCTTACAGTGGTATGCTTGTGTTTTTAAGTTTAATTTTATTACCCGACTGCCAAGGAAGGGTTATGTTTTTCGCGCGATCTTGTATGTTTGTAAATTTCTTTATTGCCTCGTATCTTCCATACGGCTGAATGGATTTCGACAATCGTTTTATTAATCTTAATAACCCAAGTTTTCTTTTTTTTAAATAAAAAAAATGTCGGATTTTTGGTAAGTACAAAATAATAATATGTTAATAAAAAAAATAACTAAACCTATCGGATAGGATATCAAAATAAAAGAAATTAAAAGGGATTACAAATATATATATTACAATAAAATAAAATAATCATAAGAAAACTCACAGACCTTGTGTACCGCTTATGTGAACTTTGCGAGGTTGCTATGGAAGATGTCCGTTTTTTCGGAAACAATATTCAATAATTTAAAAGCACGTGACATAGGTGCAAACCTGAGTATATACGTCCTAGTGTACGGCACCTTAAACGTGGAATGCGGCTGACGCATAACTATTTCCTTATCCGCCACAAACAGCTGTAACGCCCCCAGTACCTTAGAATCGTGCAGCTGACCACGCATCACGTGCCACACATACTTGCAGAGCGCGAAGTCATGCCTCAAACCAAGCTGGCTGTACCCGATCGTGCCGATCACGATTTAGCGGGTACAACGGCGTGAAAGGATAGACGCCGTTCTCCTTTTAAGAAAGAAGTCGTGTAAATTTATTTGAATTTTTTCCACCATTTTGATAAAATTACCTAAATTAACACTTTAATTTACTTTACACAAATTAAAGTTAAAAACACTAATAATTAAACACACTAATTCACTTTATTCCGCTCCGAAGCTTCGCTTGTCTCGCCAAATCAACACTACTTCGATCGCATCTTGCAACGCCTACTTATATAAATTAGCAAAATATCCAGAATGTTCAAGTAAACACGCGCAAGGTACCGAGAGTTCGAGTTTTAAACTTCAAGAAGTTTGGTTCTTCGGTTCGAGACTAGATTTGAGGCATTGGAGCGCGTAACAATATTTATCTTCATGGGTATTCCAAACAATTCCACCCGTTTCAAGACTGCAGACAAGTGCATTGTATAATACTTTGAGCACCCACGTACTCAGAAAATTCCTGCAATTCCTCAGGATAAAATCTAAATTTCAAAAGGGTTTACCGCAGATATCTACAATGTATTTACGAAACGTTAATTCAGCTACCATCTGCACACCCAAGTCATGTACGAAAGTAACGCGTGGCATTTCCGTGCCGTCAACCTCGTACCGATACTACACTAAAGAAACTCATCACCTCATACGTCACGGTGTTATAATATAGCTTATAATTTCGCTCCACTACACGAATTTACGATATCCTTATTTCGCTTGCTCACAATCCGAAACATCCGCTACCGACAAAAACAGTTTTGGGTCGTCTGCAAACTGGAGACGTTTTGAAACCTCAACAACCTCTGAGAGATCATTCATCATTAATATAAACTCCAAGAAATTCATATTAGTGGAAACTCCCCTGGGTTACACACCAAAACGTGAAGTAAGGTTCGGATTCATACCCCGCGTACTCGTACTCGACGTACTTTCGGCCTTCAACAGCGGTGACTCACGAAAAATTTTAAAAGATGCGATGTGACACCCACCTCCGCTAATTTTGTAATACCGTTATCTACGGTATTAAAAGCTTTCTGGAAGTCGAAATAAGACGGTATAAGACCTACGTATTACTGATAATAAAAACGTGGTCAGTTTTGATGTTCAGTCTCTATTTTCATTTTGTTGTTCAGTCTCTACTTGTAATTAATAATTTCTTTGTTGATAGAATCAGGCGTTACTTTGCGGAAATCCATTATAATAAAAAAAAATATAAATTTCTTCGCAACCTTCCGCTAAATAAATACAATGATGTGTCTTACCTGGATTGAAGAGCACCTCCCGCCCTCCCTCAATTGCATGCACTAACTCCGTCACCACTAGTACCAGCACCACTACTCCCAACACCACTATTCCAGGTAAGACACACCATCGACGATAATACGACACGTGTTTCGTGTGTGTGCTGGAGCATCTGGAGATTTTAAAAAGTAATAATGGTAATTATGCACTGCTGAATGAACAAAAAAATGTTTCTAATTCAACTTTGTTAAACATCTTTAAGGCTAATCCTTCATAATAATTTTAAGATTAATAATAATAAATAACTAGTTATGCATCCCGGTATTCACGGAACTGCACCGGAGACCATAACAATTCAAGCGTAAGCGTGGGCGTAGATTGCTGAATTGCGTCTGGAAGACGGGTGGTCTTTCCTGTGAATACTTATAACTGTTCATTAGCTTAAAGATCTAGAATATGAATTAGGATAGTCTTAGTTTGGCTCGCACATGTATCGCATGTAGCCTTAGGTTAGAATCCATCGCGGATTAATTAAGTAGTATGTAAGTAATGTATCGCACATTAATAGTTATAAGTTTATTAATAAAGTTTTTTTAAAAACGTCCTGAGTCAATTTCGAATCTTGACTGGTGCAGCCGGTAGGATTTCGAGTGTAAAGCTCGGTCATATAAGAAGACCCACAAATCAGTCGTCGTGAATCAGTTTAAGTCTTGCACTTTCGCGAAATCTACGAACCGAAATAAATTTGTCGAATTCGAAACAGGACATCAAGAAAGAAGACTTCCTAGCCCAGGCGAAAGGATAAGTTCGAGTGTACTCTGAGTAAACCTTTTTAGAATTTTTTAGAATTATAGTGTTATTTGATTTTTCTTAAATCGAACAAACTAAATTGCACAAGCATAGGCAATTTATTCTATATCATTAAGTTTAACAATTAAGTATTGAAAATTAATTTGAAATAAAGAAAATTTATTAAATTGTGTTATAAAGAATAAAAATTATATAACTAAAGAAATAAAAGGATATATTAAAGAAATAAAATTAATAATTATATAAATTAAATTTAATAATTAAATAAAATAAATTAAATATTATATAAATTGTAATATTAATATTAAATAAAATGGAACAATTACGTGTAATACCTAAGGATTTACTTTGTCTTATACCTAAGTTAGGAGAGGAAGGATTATGAAATTTATTTTTTATACAGGTCTTTCGCAGACCCTAATAATGCCACACAAACATTATATGTATTCCATGCGATAAGCAGCCGATTAACAGGTAGGGCAGCACATTTGATAAGTGAGCCTGACGATATTAATTGTTGGAATACACTTTAAGATATTTTAATTCAACATTTTGGCAATCCGCGTTCGGAAGATTGCATAGCTATCGAATTAGAACAAATGAAAATTAAGTCTGGTGAATCATTTATCGATTTTTGTCGTAGGATACAACATATGCGTAGTACCTTATTCGCAAAAGTCAATCTAATACAGGACGAAGGAGTAAAAGCAGCTAAAATATAGTAATATGTCACTAAATGTATTCCTTTATAATTTACCCGAGGATTTAATTCGTATCGTGCGTCTTAGACAGTGTACTAGTTTAGAATCCGCTTTGAGTGTCGTAACCGAGGAAGTGAATTTCATGAACCAATATAATGCGAAAAATAAAACGAAACAGAATATAACATCCCAAAATTTCAAACCCCAACAAAGTGTTAATATTTTACCTAATAATAATTCATCGTATTTTAAATTTGCAAATCAACACGTTGCACCCCA